TTTTGCTAAAGCAGAAACTAAATCTGATGCACCTTCATTCATAATTTAATTTTATCTATTTTTTTTTTGAAAGATTTTTAAATAAGTAGAGAGGAAAAAAGCAACAAAAAAAAAATGTAAATTGAAGAATTAATAAAATAGAAAAGGTGAAAAATCAGTAATTAATTAATTAATTAATTAAATAAATAAATAAATAAAATTTAAGCATTATTTCAAACAAGCAATCAGTAAATTATCATTACTTTATTCATTAATATTAAATATCAAATATAAGCTATCAATTAATATTAATTGCTTTTTTCATTCATATTACATATCAAATCAACAACGCAATAAAAAATAGAAGAATTAATCTATTTAATAATACATGAGATATAGAGTCAAATTATAGAGTTTAGGATACTTTGCAAAAGTAGAACCAAATTGTGACATCCCTTTGTACCCAATTTAATTATTACTTTTTATATTTTAAGAATTATTATTAAATAAGTCAGGAAAGAAAGATCTGTGCATGAAATTCAAAATTAAAAAAATTTCTAATACTCAAATTTATTTTTTTCATATTTTTAATACTCTTCTATGACCGAACAATAAATAAATAATCAATAATTAAAATTATCTTTAATAATTAGGAAAATAAGAAACAAATAATTATTCCTATTTTATTGTTAATCTAAATAAATTATAGCATAAGGAAAAGGTAGGTAATAAAATATCTTTACCCAAGATCAAGTACCAGAGTTGAGATGTTTTAGCACATCGCTAAACCAGAAGCTAAGTCTTATGCCCCCTATTCTCCAATGAAATTTTGACTTTTAAAAATTGTAATCGCATTTTACAATAGTTGGAAATAATTAAGGAAAATTTAATCTAAAATAAAATTGATTCTTACTAAAGCATGATTGTCAAATATTAGAGATTCGTACATTTTGCTAAATGATAAGTTAAATCTTTTGCACCCAAAGCACTGATTTAATTCTAACTTTAAGAAAAATTTTAGTCAAATTCAAAATAATTAGCTAAAAATAATAATAAAAAGAATTAGAGCAAATTAAAATGCTTATTTAAGTGGAAAAATCAATAAATGAATAAATGAATAAATAAATGATTAGATGAGTGAGTTAGTGAGTGAATAAATAAATTAGGACAAGTATATAATTACTTATATTTAAAGTAATTATATTACTCTTTAGTTAAATAAAATAAATTTTGAATAAGAACAAAAAACTGTTTTTTACTATAATTAGAGTTCTAAAGTTGAAAGATTTGAACATTAATATAAGCCTGAACAAATATCTAATACGCTTTAATCATTCAAATAGTTAACTCTTTTATTTTATTATTTTGAGTAAATTTGATAGAAATTTTGTGATTGTTTAAATTAATTTGAAAAAGAATAATAAAAATATTTTTTTTAAACTCAAAAAATAAATGCAAAATAAGTTAAAACAAGATAGTAATATAAAAGCAAGCAATATCTAATTTAATCATATTTTTTAAACAAACAAAAAAATTACTGAAGGTTCAATTATAAAATAGAAAGATTTGATAATTTTGATAAAGCAGCACCTAAATCTGATGATTCGCCTTTCTTACCAATTTCATTTTAACTTTTTTATATATTTGATATAGATAGATAGATTGAGAGTAAGCAATAAAGAAAATTTGAATATTAATTAAATTTTAATTAATTTATATAAAAAAAATAAGATAAAATCAAATAAAGTGTTTACTAAAATTGAATAGACAAATCTGATAAATTAGAATTTTTTGATAGTTCATTTAACAAACCTGAAGCTCCTTAAGCGTCAATTTAATTTTAACTTAATTGATTTTTGCATTATTTTATATGAAAAATTTAATAAATATATATAAAATTATAATAAAGTATATTTCTCTAAAATTATTTATGGTTTTTTTCAATCAAATATGTTAAAAAATTCCTTTTGATTGATAAATATAATAAATATGGATTTTTGATTTCTACAATCATAAAATTTTGAAAAAATAATTGCATATTTTGTTAAAAATTTAAAGTAGTGATTGATTGATAGATACTGTATATTCTCAAATATAATATTTTTAGTTGCAGTATTTTTTTTTCTGTAAAAGCATATTAAAAAAATTAAGGGAATAATTAAAAATTTTCTGAATTTTATTCATTGAAATAAATTACAATAAATAAATACTAATAAAGGCCTATTAAATGCTATTACCTAAGTATGAGTTCTAATTTTTTGAGATTAATGCATTTTGCTAAATCAGAACCTAAGGCCTATACACTTGAATTATCTATTTAATTCTCTCTTTTTATTTTTGAAAAAATGAATTGTAAGATGATTAGTTGAATGAATTTTTAAAACATTTTTGCTGAAATTTAATGAAACAAACATAATTCTAACCAGTAAATGAATGATAAAATGATTAAAAATGGTTTCCATTTAATTAATTTTTTCATTACTGACACAATTTACTGCAGTTATTAATATAGTTAAATGTTAAACATTTTTACCTAATATCAAGTACCAAACTTAAGAGATCGATATTCTTTTCTAAAGTAGAACCTAAAAACTATGCGCCCAAAGAGCCAATTTAATTCTATCTTTTAATATATTAAGAAATCATTAAAAATAATTTAAATGATAAAAAAATCACAAATTTAATGTTAATTTATAATTGAAAAATAAATAATAAAAAATGGGTTTGGCGTAGGAAAATAAAAGTTGAAAAACAGAAAAATGCTAATACTGTTTTATTACTTTTTTGCTGGTAAAAATAATTAATATTTAATATGAAAAAAAGCAAATAAATTATTTTTACCCAAGAAAAAGTGTTAGTATTTTGATATTAGAGCAATTTAATAGACTAGAAACTAAATCTGACACACCTTATGACCTGATTTAATTTTATCTTTTTTATTTTTGTGAAAATATATTAATTTTGATGAATAAATATAGATAAAATCAAAATTATTTACAAAAATTTAAGTTTTAAATAAGTAAATAATTTAATGAGTAAACAAATCAATTAAGAGTTGTATAAAAAATAGAAATTAAATGTTAATGCAAATATTAAATTTATTTATTTATTGTTGTAAATATAGAATTAAGTTAGTATTTACCCTAGATAAAGTTACAAATTTGAGAGATTTACACACTTTGTTAAAGCAAAACCTAAGTCTGATACGCACTTGTCATCAAGCTTATTCTTCCTGTTTATTTTTGAGAAATTTTTTATTTATAATAAAAATATAGCTGAATTTATAATATTATGAAAAGTAAACTTAAATTTGAATAAATAAAATTATTAAGAAATTTGCTATTAATTTAAAGAATGAATAAGCAAAATAAATATTTAAAATAAATAAAAAATCTATCGATATATTTAAATTTTATTATTCATTCATACTTTTATTTTAGTTATTCTATTCTAAAATAAATCAAATAAAGTAAATAAAATAAGAAAAAAATTATTTTTACACAAGGAAAAGTTTCAAATTTGAGAGATTACTAAGGTTTGCAAATGCAGAACATAAGTATTATACACTTGCTCCTATTTAATTCTACCTTTTTATTTAATACATTAGTTAAAATAGAAACCTTTATTAAATATTAAAAGAATATAAAAAAATGTAAATTTAAAGCTGAAAAACAAAATTTATGAAGGAATAAAAATGCATGAGAAGTCTGTCTGATCTAGAAAAAAAAGAAACTCAGATTAGCATAGATTTTATTTGATTTAAAAATTATCTAGAAAAAATGAGAATATTAAAATTTAATTTGTATTTTTACCCAAGATCAAGTATCAAACTTAAGAGGTTATTATATTTTGCCAAAGCTGTACATAAATCTTATGTACCTTAATCTCCAATTGTATACCATCTTTTTGGTAAATATTTTATAATTTTATAAAAATAGAAATGAATGAGAGAATCAAAACCAAAACTTAAGATAGATAATGTTCGTTCAAAAAGCTCAAATAATAAGTTAATAATAAGAAAAATAGCAAATAAAGAAAAAATAAAATAACTGAGCAAGTTTCATATTTCTTATTTGCTATCAAAAATAAAATTGATGTTAAAAATCAAGTAAAAAAATTCAATTATGATTTACCTTAAATTAATCTCAATATTTTAAAGATTTGAGTCAGGTAAAACTGAAAAGTTTATAAACTATTTTTTTATTTGATAAAAATGAATTTAATTAGGCAAATAAGAAATGTTAAGTTATTACGTCTTATAATTTTTTAAATTATTTTTTATTTTATTAAATCATATTTTTCTCTTTTATTTTTCGAATCCGTAATTTAATTTAATAATAAATTAAAAAAATATTAAGATTAAACAAAATATTCATTAATTGCCAAAGATTCTTACTTACTTACTTACTTACTTACTTTTTATATCTATTTTTATCTTAATTTGATATTATTAATAAATAATCTTTTTTATTGAACTTGAATATTAGATCAAAATATATTCCAAAAGAAATTCAAAATAATCTCAAAACTAAAATTATAAATTTCTCAATATTAATAGCTTAAAAAAATTTGATCACTATTTACTAATTTTTATTCAATTTAAATAATGTATTTATTTCACACAAAGTATTTAAAAATTGGCAACTCAAAAATTGAACTTGCTAGTGTTGTGAACTAAAAAAGCTATTTTTTAAAGTTGAAAGTCAATAAAGAAATTATAATTACATTAATTATTAAATAATTTTATAATAAAATTAATATATACCTTTTTAAGATGTATTTCTGAGTGCATTTATATGTGCGAGTTTATCTTATCTTATCTTATCACCAATTTAATTGCCTCTTTTTAAATATTGAAGAAAAAATTATTCATTAAATAGTTAATTAGAAGTAAAAAATGAAGAAAAAATATGAAATAATAAGATTAATTAATTAATAATAAAAACAAAAGTTGAAAATAAAATGATGATCTAAATTAACAAAAAAAGTACAAAAAAAAGCAAGCACAATAAAAAGAAAAAGAAATAAGAGCTTTATTGTTTTTAATTAGTGCTTATAATTAAAAATATCACAATCCAAAACAAATAAACTGTTTTTACCCAATCACAAGTGTCAAATTTGAGAGATTAATGCAATTTTTTAAAGCAGAACCTAAGCCTGATACACCTTTATCACCAATTTTATTCCAACTTTTTAAATATTGAAGAAAAAATATATCATTAAATAGTTAATTAGAAGGGAAAAAAGAAGAAAAAATATGAAATAATAAGATTAATTAATTAATATTAAAAAAAAAAGTTGAAAATAAAATGATGAGCTAAATTAACAAAGAAAGAACAAAAAAAAAGCAAGAAAATTAAAAAGAAAAAGAAATAAGAGCTTTATTGTTTTTAATTAGTTTTTATAATTTAAAATATCACAATCCAAAACAAATAAATTGTTTTTACTCAAGGTCAAGTGTCAAATTTGAGAGATTAACGCAATTTGCTAAAGCAGAACCTAAGCCTGATGCACCTTGATCACCAATTTAATTGTCTCTTTTTAATATTGAAGAAAAAATTATTCATTAAATAGTTAATTAGAAGGAAAAAATGAAGAAAAAATATGAAATAATAAGATTAATTAATAATTAATAAAACTAACAAAGAATGAAAAAATAAGAAATCATAATAAAAAGAATAAGGAGAACAAATCAAATAGATTAAAAGAACGATAATGTTTTAAATTAACTTTTATAATTAAAAATATTACAATGTAAAACAAATAAATAGCTTTTATTAAGTGTAAGTTTTAATAGCAAAAATGAAGAAAAAATATCAAATAATAAAAAATGAATAATAAATAAATAATTAAAAATTGAAATGAAAATTAAGCTAAAATGGCTAAAAAATTTTAGTTTTAACAAAAATCAATAAATAATCATAATAATTTAATTTTATAAAAATTATTATATTTAAATAAATTGAAAATTAAAAAAACAAAAATATCAATAATAATAATAAAAATAATATTTATAAATTAAATATACCTCAGACTAATATGGAGAACCTAATGAGATAAAAGTGAAGAGCTTTTAAACTTTTTTTTATTAATTTATATAAATTTAAAGGATATTAGTAAAAAAATTAATAATTACTTCATCTAAATTATAATATTCTTTAATCTATTATATCATTTTTTATTAATCAAAAATATTGAATAGCAATTTATGAAATTTAATTAATTAATTAATTATAAATGGATTAAAAGAACAAATAAATATAATAATTAATTAATTATCAAATATTAACTTTTATATTTGGTTTATTAAGAGATATCACAGAAAAATTAATTTAACATTCACTATTTAAACTTAATATTTGTATTTAAAACGAATACTTAAAAATATATATAGTAGTAATTAGAGATGGCTAGTTATTTATTTAGTCATATTTGAAAAAAATTATATATAGATAAAAAAGGGGTCTAGCGCACTGTGATCACTTTTATAAAAATTTTTTATTTTTTATTTATTTAATTATTTTTAAACAATTTTTTTACTCTCAAAATTTGAAAAAAGCTCTTTGTTTGTATTTTGATTAATTTTCGTTAGCATTTTTAAAACAGATATAAAGAAAGTAATTAATTAAGATTTAAACAAAAAAATGTTTAATGGATAATATAATAATCACTTGAAATACCACAAATCATGATATTATTTACGGTTGATGATATTTGAAAAGTAGGAAGGAACAGCTAGCTATATAATAAATGTCAGATTAATTTTAGATTTAAGATTATTTTTGATTGAAAGAATGGATAAAGGGAAAAAGATTAAATAATTTATGATAAGGAGTAAATAAATTTGTTTTAGATAGATCAAATACTATATTAGAAGATAAAAATAATCTTAAAAGAACGAGATCACATAAAGAAGATAAAATAGAAGTGATTTTATTTATTTATTGGATGAAATAAATTATTTCTACTGATAATAATATCACAAGACGAATTTATTTTAGCGAATTTAAAAATTTTTATTTTACAATAGTTGGCGTTTTTTGAATGGTTAAGAATAAACAAGAGAAATAAAAGTAGATTGAACAAAAGAAATTTATTTATTTATTAATTAGTTCATTCATTAATTTTTTAACTTATATGTTTATTTGTGAAGGCTTGTAATCTAGAGATGTTGTGTTCATAATAAATTACAGTTACGTAAATTAAAATTAAATTTAATCAAAAACATTAATTAAAAGCTCATCATTCTAAAGAAATAAGTAATTTTATTGATGAAAAAAGTAATTTTTATATTACTTAGGGTCTTTATTGGTTGCAAATTCTATGAAGTACTTTATTTCTTGTTCTCTGAATTCGTTGTAAATAAATTTGTTTTTGGTAGATCAAATACTAAATTCTAAAATAAAAATAATCTTAAAAGAAAGAGACCATATAAAAAAGATAAAATAGAAGTGATTTTATTTATTTATTGGATGAAATAAATTATTTCTACTGATAATAATATCACAAGATGAATTTATTTTAGCAAATTTTTAAATTTTTATATAACAATAGTTGGTGTTTTTTGAATGGCTAAGAATAAATACTACAAATAAAAATAGATTGAACAAAAGATATATATTTATTTATTTATTGATTTTTAATAAGTTAATTAATTCATTTTTTAACTTAGAAATTATTATAACCTTTCATAACACTTTCTATATGTTTATCTGTGAATGCTTGTAATCTAGAGATGTAGTCTTCATAATAAATTACAGTTGCGCTAAGTTAAAATTAAATATCATACAAAACATTGATTAAAAGCTTATTCTAAAGAAATAAGTAATTCTATTGATGAAAAAAGTTATTTATATATTACTTAGGGTCTTTATTGGTTGCAAATTCTATGAAGGACTTTGTTTCTTGTTCTCTGAATTCAATACTTTAAAATTAATTTTTTAAAAATGAATGTTTTTTGATATCATATCTAGCTATTTAGATTGTAATAAATACCCTTATTTTTCTAAGAATGTCTTCATCATGTCAATTTCAATATAACCTTTTCCTTCTTAGTCTAAAAGCTTTTATAAATTGTTTATTAAATTAATTAACTAATTAATAAAACTGTTTCGCACAAAAATTCATTTCAAAATTGTAAGTAAGATTTACCTTAAATGCAGCAAGCAATGCTTCGGGATCATCAGGTTCATATTCTCTTTCTTTAAGGACTATTAAATTAGAATTATGTTTAAATTCTTAGCAATTAATTCTCCTAAAATTTGCTTAAAATTTACCTTTTAACATATAAGGTTCGAATTTGCTATACTTGATAAACTCACTAGGTTCATCTTCTTCGATCTTTTTGTTTGCGTTTTAAAGTGGGTCAAAAAACAAAATCAATTGACATTATTCAATTAATTACTTCAGGTAAAATTGCATCTCTAACTTATGCTTCAGAAGGGAATTGACCCAAGTATCTCATAATATAAGGAATTTCTCTATTTTATATTTTAAAAAGTTATTCAATCCATCCAAATAAAATTCTAAATCAAAAATGGATTAATTGATTGCCATTTAAAACTCAAATACTACCTTTTATCAACTATTCCTTTTTTATCTTTTACGAATAAATTGAAAGCTTCCTAAATCTTAAGCTTTAAGAATTCTTCCTGTTTTTATTTTTCAGTTTGAGAAGTGTTCGGATCGTACATTTGCTAATTAATATTTAAACCTATTTGATTATTTTTCTAATTGCAAGTATAAACTACTTAAAAATTTGATATCTTATAATTATTTCAATATGTTACATTGACTTTGAAAATTAATTAACAAATAAATAAACAAGCAAACAAATCAATTTAATATTTGCAAATTCAAATTTCTTTCAATAGCTTAAAATTAAATAAAATTAACAAAAAAAACAAAAACTTAATTAACAAAAGCGCCATAAAATTTTATAAACAAACAAAAAAAGATAAACTAAATAGAAAGAAAAAGTGACATTTTTATCTTAATAAATTTAGTGAGTTTTGATTATAAATAAATCTTCACTCAAAAGATATAAAATCAGAAAAAAATAATTTAAAAAGTAAATAAATAAAGAAACTATCGGTTATTAATGAACGATAAGAAATCATAATTTAAAATTTTAGAAAGTTCATTTCATACGTGCAAAAAATTTCTTTAAAATTTCATTTAGATAGAAATTTATTAATCCAGTTATTTAATTGGAAGAGACATGTTTCATATTTATTTTATAATTTATTTAAAATATTTCAAAAATATTTAAAATTAAATGAGGAATTAAGTAATTTTTTAATTTTATCTTTTTCTTAAAGTTTAAATTTTTAAAAAATATTTGTCTGCTTAATTTCCTTTTTAAGAAATATTAATATGAAAAAATTTTAAATTTGTTCTTTTTCTTGAAAAATTATTTAAAACAAAATAATTTTATTTAATATTTTTCTTGGATTGTTAACAAAAAAGTATTTTAGAAAATATTTCAAATTAATTAAAATTTTATTTAATTTTATTTAAAATAAACTTCAAATGAATTTAAGATAATCTAAATGATCCTTTAATTATTTATTGCTTCAAAGATATTAAAGTTTTTATATATAATTTATTAATATTTAATTTAAATAATTTTCAACTCAGTAATCAAGTGATAAAATTAACAAAATTTTTTTAATTTTTTATATTATTTTGATTTCTTTTTTTAATCTATTTATTTAAATTTATTTTATAAAATTTATTTTTTTGTTTAGAAAATTAATTTTTTTTATCAATTAACTTTTAATTATTCTTAAATGAAATTTAATTTTAAATTTTGAAATAATTAATAGTTTCTTTTAATTTAATTATATTTAGAAAAGGATGAAAATAAGATTCATTTATTAAAAGAAAATATTTTTATTTTATTTTATACTTTAAAAATAAACAAATTTTAGCAATAAAAAATATAAATGAAGTCTAATTATTTTTGAAAATGAAATAAAAAAGAGTGGAGTTGACTAAAACAAATTTTAACTTTGAAGTTAATATTCATTCATTTTTGATTATATTGACTGATTGATTGACTGACTGACTGACTGACTGACAAAGCAATTCTTGTTAGAATACTTGTAACAAATATTAATTGATTAAATAATTTTCATAAATACAAACGAGCACTCTATATATTAATTAAATAATTCATCTATCATATCATTCAATAATAATAATAATAATTTATGATTTTAAACAAATACATTGTTTTTAATGTATTCATTTGTTTGATCATTGCAAATATTTACTTATTAGCTAGTTTCTTATTAATTTTGCATTTATTTTTTTATTTATTTGTTTCTAAGTTGTTTTTGCTTTGTTTATTTATTTATTTGTTAGATTTTTTGTAAATTTTTAATAATATATTTTGTTTACTTATTTATTTTTTTGCTTGCTTGCTTTTTTGTTTGTTTGTTTGAAGGATGAGTTGCTAGATTATTGATTTTAGCAGGAATGAATTGGAGTTAAAAATTATCAAAAAAGAAAAAATAAATAAATAAATAACAAAAAGAAGAAGAAAAGCAGTATTAGATAGATTTCAATAAATATAAGAAAATAAATAGAAATTCCCTCCTAAAAAATTAAATCAAGCAAAGAAAGATATACATAGATTGTTATATAGATTATACATATTTATAGAGAATTCACAAATAAATTATGGAAGAGGAGAAGCAGATAGGTAAAATAAATTCAAAATATAAGATTTACATTAGAATCGCTACGCCAAAGCCAGATGCCAGCAGTTAGTTAAGATATAGCAGAGGCTTTTTTGTCTTGAAATCTATCAAATTTTGGAGAAAGTTTCCATCTTTGAAAAAGCAGTTTAAATTTTATCAAGTTAGATTAATGATATTAATCAAACAAAATTGTAGCAAAGTTGCTTTTCTAGTTAGTTATAGAGTGCACCATTTTTTTAGCTAAGTCTTTTTAGAGATATTTTTTTACACAAACAACAATGCAATCAAGCTAATTTATGGTGAAAACTCGAAATTGTTTTGAAACAAAAGGATTAAGCTCTGTTTTTGTTAGGTTTTTAAATAAATTGTTTATTTTTCTGAAGAGACACTTACTAATAATCGAAATAATTATGCAACAATACTGCTTGCTAACTTGCTACTGCTGGATTTAGATTGGGCTGTATAGCGAAATAAATTAATTATTGGGGTGAAATAATCGTTTAACTCATTGTTGTTATTAACTAAAGATAATAATTAGAAGCTTGAAGAATCTAATTTTAAAGTTAAATTTACTCGACTCAGCAATTACCAGGACTACTAAGTAATATAATTGTTTAATCATTTGTATTAAAAAGGAAAGTTAAAAGTCTTTATAGTTCAATCAATTTAAAGAAATTTTCAATTATTTTTGGATAACTAACCATTTGCATGCAAAGCCTTGAAAAAATAGCGAATTAAATAGCTGAATTTGAAACTTTAATTGAAATATTAATTGATTTTTTGTTAATTAATGAATGATAGGAATCATATTGTGAGGTTTGCTTTCAGAGTAATAATAAATACTATCCAGAAAATGATGAAAAAGGTGAATGAAATATAAAAAAAAGAAATATTTTAAATACAAATTTAATTAATTTAGGTATTAAAATGATGGTCTGTTACGGATGCAGTTTGAAATGTCATGCATATTGTTACGGGATAGACACCTAAACATAAGAAGAGCTAATTAAAAAGAAACAAGACCAAAAGGTCCTTTATTTTTTATGTCAAAAGTGTAGGATTGAGCCTAAAAAACCAATTGTAAATTATTGAATAAAATTAAATAAATCATCAAATTGATTTGCTTTTCAGTGAAATTTATTTGTTGATTCTCATAGAACAAGAATTAAATAAACTATTTTATGTTAGGGATGTGTCATTTGTAATCAGAAAAAGGGAGCTTTAAAAAAGATAGAAAATTCATAAACAAACGAATGGGTTCATATTACATGCGGATTTTATAATAAAGGAATAGTCAAAATAGACAATTATAGGACAATGGCATTTGTAAAATAGAGTGATGCTCCCATAGAAAAAGATAAAAAAGCAAAGAAGTCTTGTCATTTTTGCAAAAGCGATGTTGGAATTGAAAGGTGTGTTACTGACGGATGTTAATAACATGCACACGTTTATTGCATAATGAATTACGTGAGGGAAAAGGAGAAAGCAGGAGCTGACCCATTAGATATTAAATGGTTTGCTCGTATGAATTATGTTAACAATGTTAAATTTGACATAAGCAAGGGAGAAAATGAGACTAGCAACCTCTCTAAAAACGTCTACTTTCAATAGTCTATGAAGCATAGTTTCAATGAAATCTCTTAAATTTTATTAGGAGAACCTATTTATTAATTAGAAAATGCAGCCTCATTTGAGTCTGCTGAAATCGTCCCTGCTGAGCAAAAGCAGAGCAAAATCTCATCAGCCAAGAAAAAAGGCAAAAGAAAACTTAGCGAAGATGAAACTTAAGATTAAAACTAGGAAAACACCAATTTCATAGAAGAAACTCAATAAGCAACAAAAATTACCAAGCAAAATAAAATTGAATATTAATCCAAGTTAGTAGAATTGGGAAATCTTGTTATGAAAAATTTCGTCCTTAATGCCACCACAGCCAGTAGCATTCAAGAAGAACAAGTAGTTGCAGCAGCAAAAATGAATTCTTCAGCTCTTAAAAAATCTGCAAAAAACGATAAAATTTAGAATTCAGATAAAGCCACATAAGATAGCCAAAATTCTGATCCTGAAATCTACCTCAGAGGAGGTGAAATGTATATTGAATGTCCTGATCACAGAAGAATAGACGTATACTGTGTCTGCTAAAAAGCAGATGCATCAGACGACATGGTCTATTGCGACCTTTGCAGTAATTTGCATTTTATTTAATAATTTACCAGCCATTTAGCTAACAAATTATTAATCTATGTTCAAATATCCATTCAAAATATGCAATTTACTTTTTTTCATCTTCATGTTCAGATCTAACAAACTATTCCAAAAAAAATAAAAAAGTCCCCATAAATCTATCATACTTCTCATCAAATAAATTAATTAATACTTTTTTAATCTAATTTACTCTAAATTATTTCAGATGCATAAAAGTAATCAATCAATCTATCATGAAAGATCGTTTATTAAATAAAGCTACAACTAAAATTGAATAATTGTTTATATTATTTATGAATAACAAGCCATATAAAAAATTAAATCAGAACATTTATAAATAGGTCATAGCTATTTATTGTATCATAAAAATAGGCTTTAAATAACTATATTTTTAAAAGAAAAAGCTATTATCAAAGCAATGATGAAACATACATTTTAATAAATAAATGAAATATTAAATAGTTTCATTAAATTTGATTAATTATCACAACAGGTCAAAATGAATTTTAACTTTATTTGAATGAATCAAAATAATTATTTTAATAAAGGTAAATAAATAGCAAACAAATAAATTTATTTTAATATAATGCAAAAAATAAACATTAAACCAATCTTTGATAAATACAAAACAAACAGTTACTTTAATTCATATTAATGATAAATTTAAATGATAAAATAAAAAAGTGAAAGAAATATTTCCATTAAAATAAATTTATTAAGGGGAATTAATTAAATTTGCATAGAAATAATAATTTTATTTGAAAAATATATTTAAACTTTTTTGAATTTTTTTATTTATTGAATATTAATTTGAATTTAGATGACTGGTATCACTATAGCTGTGTGAAGTATAATCCTGATAAAGATGATGATTCAAGTGGGAAATATAGATGCACTATGTGCGAAGATTGGTACAATCATAAGAAGAAAAAACTATTGAAGGAATTTTAAAGTGGAAAAGCAGAGACTACTAACATTTTGATTGCAAATATGCCTAAATTTAATTTGATGGATTTCATTTCAGTTATTATGATCACTGATCAAAGAATTTAGAATTTGCTTTTCAATTAGAAAAAGGGAAATATTGACAGTTAAATAAATGAGGCTGTCAAATTTTTAAGCTATTTTCCTTTGTTTTCTTCTAAAATACAAGAAATTACTGTTTTCAAATAAAGAAAATATCTGCATCAAGCTGTCAATGACTTCTTATAAAAAATTATTGAGGAAACTGAGCTGTTAAAAATAGTTTCGGCTGTCTAAATAGATGAAAAAAGTCCTGCAAAATACATGTAGTTAGTTAGTTAATTTGTTTTTGGAATATAATTTTATTAACAAGATATTTATTTTGTAATTTATTTAGAGTTTTGGAAGAAAATTTAAAAAAGAATGAGGAGCTCAAAAGACTTATTGATGGAATCAGCGCTTTGTTCCAAAGGAACAAGACAAAGGAAAAGGGAATTCTGCTTAACTTGAAGAAACCTATAAATTGGATTTTGAAGGTCCACCAAGTGTTTTTCAAAAAATAAGAAAAGATCTCTTCTTTAATTTTGCAAGAATTAATGAAAGATGAAGAAGATGATGTCAAAAATACTGTTGAATATTAATTATTAGATCAATACGCTTAAAGGTTGAAGTCTTGGAATGCTAAAGTTAATAGTTTCTACGAAAATATTATTTAAAAAGCAAATAGTAAAATGGAAGAAGAAAAGCAATCTGCAGAAAACACAGAAAAAAGTAAATACATTAATAAAAATATCTATTTTTGTTTGCTAAAATGAAATTTAATGTTTAGAACAAGTTGAAGAAGATGAATTTATAAATCTCAAATATTAATTATGGAGAGATAGATTAAGCACTAGACCTACTATAGAGGAGCTAGAATAAATCTTGGAAGAAGGTAGAGAAATTCCAGTTGATTGTTCTCAAGATATTAAAAAACTTGAATCTGAAAAAGATGAAGTTTAAATTTGGTTCTAGACTCTCGATGAAAGGGAAAGAAGTGCAAATTTACTTCTCACATAAAAGCTCAAATAGGAAGAGAGGATAAACAAAAGTAGTCATATTGCATAAAATGATCAAGATGGTGAAAGCAAGATCAAAAAAGAAAATAATACTTAAAGCATTTCAAAAGCTAGTTTGTAGGAAGAATAAGCTTAGGAGTAACAAATGAATAACTAAAATGGAGAAAAAATACAAGTTGAAGAAGAGCAAAATTAGTAACAAAAATAGGAAAATAGCGAAGATCCTAAAATAAATGAAGAAAAAAGCAATGAAAAGAACGAAAATTAGAATGAAGCTGGTGTTAAAGATTAAATGGATAATGAAGAGAATGAGCAAAACCAAAAAGGTGAATAGAAATAGCAAGAAAAAATGAACGAAGAAAATAATAATGCAAAGGATTAGTAAAATACTGCAATGGAAATAGAAAAAAATAGTGAGAAAACTGACAAAAAGGGTGAAGAACATAAGGAAAATCATCATAAATAAGAGCAAGAATCATAAGCAGAAGGAGGAAAGGGTCATGTAGATAACTTAACTCACTAAAAGATTTACAAGAATTAATAACTTATGAGCAAGGGAGACTTCGAAATATTTGCTAATTAAATGTTTACAAAAGTAGTTTTGCAAGTTCCAAGAATGAATTAAATTATTGACATGCTATAGCAATATGAAGTTAATGAGCTCTAATGGGAAAGACTCCTAGAATTTATTAATGAAAAAGAATAAGAAAACAATGCTAAGAAACAACAGTAAGAGTTAGAGCAAAATCAATAACAAGATGAATTCATTTAATAGCAAATTATCCTGAGTTAGTATTAGAATAACACAAGTAAGTATGAACTCATTGAATTTTAAGAGCTAAAGGATTTACTGGAATCATGCTTGAAACTTGAAATTAAGGTTCCCTTCTTGAATTAAATAGTTCAATAAATGAACAACTATTTAGAGCAAAAAGCATAATTCCAAAATGTGTTGAATTCTTAGTTTGACGAGAGCAACTATTTCTAGCAACTTAAAAAAATTTTAACATTGCCATTTATATTTGAAGAAGAAAAATAATTCTACGAAAGAATAGTTTACTTCAAAGAAATTCAAGAAATTTGCAAGAGTGGATTTAAAAAGTTTTACAGTGTCGAATAAATCTAAAAGTTATCAGAAATTTGTCAATCATCTAAATTCTCCGAAGAAATTACCTCTGAATTTTAGTCAAAAACTGAAAACATTTGTTAAATAGCTAAAGGTCTCAACAAAATTGTAGAAACTGGCCTAATTGAAAAAGAACAACTCGATCAAGCCAAAGAACTCACAGAATAAATCAGCCAAATGAAAAACTCCAAAGTAGACTTTAAAAGAGAGTTAGAAATCCTAAAAAGCATCTAAAAATCAGTCTAATGGTTCAGATCCTTACACAAGTTCTTCTTCAACCTCAACGAAGACCAAATTAAGCTTGATCCATCAATGCGTGTTCAAGAAATCGATTTAGAAATTGAAGACATGCTCGAAGCCAAAGTAATTTCTTCAACAAACATATAAATTTTATAAAAACGATATCCAAAATTAATTTTTAAACAAATGAAATATTTACTTAAAATATTTTTTTTCAACAAAAAAAAATACAATTTTTTAAATTAAATCTATTTTATTTATTACAGTTTCAAAATAAATCTCATTTTTCAATAAAATTTTTTATTTATTTATTTTTAAAAGACATTTCCATTATTTTAAAAACAATTCCATTTAAATTTCCTTTTTTTAAATGAAATTTCATTAAGTTTTAATAAGAATCAAATAATATTTTTGAAAGATATTTATTCCCTTCATTATCAAAGTAAATCTAAATAAATTTTCTTCATTTTAAATGAAATCTCTTTAAATTTTATTAGAAATTTAATTTGTTGTTAAAAGATATTTTCTTTATTTTTAAAAAATAAAATAATCAAATTTCCTTCATATTGAAATGGAATCTTTTTAAATTTTAATTGAAATTTATTTTTTTTAATAGAAACTCTATTTATTTTTAATATAAATTTAATTTATTTCTAATACAAATTCCATTTAATTTAAATAAAATTATTTTTTTTAAATTCAATTTTTTTAAGAGAAATTTTATCTTTTTAGAAAATATTATTTTTATTTTAAATTATTTGTTTTTCTGATAATATTTATGGAAATATTTTAATAATTTAATTTTTTGTTGATATTTAATTTTGTAATAAAATTGGAGTTTTTATAAAATGTTGATTTTATTTTTTTTTGTTAATAAAATTTATTTGTGAACAAATTTTAAAAAGAATATTGATGAATGTGAAGCGGATATTTAAGAGAAGTGGAATCTTGTTTGTTAGAATTTAAATCAAGTGAAAGGGGAATTGTATAGTTTCATTAAGGAAGGGATTTCAACAGAATATCATCACGATAAAAGAATTAGCAAGATTTATCAAAATTTATGCGAAATGTGTTGGATTTATGAGGCGAAATTATTGCTTAGTTTATAAGATGTGAAGTTTTAGCAGGTTTTTGAAATGCTTTAAACTGGATTAAACTTTAAGATTAACTAGGAAAATGAAATTTTTAAAAAGGTGAAAGAATTGCTTGAAAGCACGAAAAAGAAACATGAGGAAGAAATGCAGTTGAGGTATAATAATTAAAAATTTAAAAAAATTTAATTTAATTTAATTTTTCATCAACGAAAGGCAATAGCATATTTAAGAAATGCAAAAGCAGCAACAGGAACAGCTTAAGTTTTAGCAGCTTTAATAATAGCAGTAGTCACTTTAGAGTAAGAAAATTAATCTTGTTGTCTCAGATGATAGCGGAAATGAAAATGGATCTTAGAAGTCTGATTGGGATAAAGATGAGGACGATGAGGAAGATGGTTAAGACGAAGAAGACGAAGATGAAGATGAAGAGGATGAGGAGGACGATGATGAAGACGACGATGATGATGATGATGAAGACGAAGATGATAATGATGATGATAGCAAAACTGACAAAGATGGCAGAGATGATAACAACGATGATGATGGTAACGGAAGAAACAATAATAATTAAAAAGGTAACTAGAAAAAGACTGATCTTATTCAAATTGAAAGTGATCTTTCTTTGATGGATGAAGAAGAATCACAATAATAATAGCAATAAAATGAATCAGATACCAATAATTTAAATGAAGTTTAGAGGAATTAATACAAGACTCTCTTTGAATAGGGATTGAAGTGGAAAAATGAGGTTTAATCTGCTTACTAAATTATAAAGAACTGCTCTAGTTCAGATTCTGGAGAGAACAACAACAAAATGGATATTGAGAAACTCTCTGATGACTCGTTGGTCACATTCTAACAGCTAAAGAATCTACTCCAGGAAGGATACTAAATCACGCAGGATATTCTTAAGCTGCATCAAAGTGTGGTGTTTATGAAATCAAAGATGATCAAGCTTGAAAATATTTTTATTTCAATCCACAAGCATTTAGATTAATTCAACAAGATTAAAAACCCAGATTTGGTAGATGATTCTGTGAAAATATAAAATTGCATTGATATTAGCGATATTCTCATAGAATACAAAGTCAATCTATCATCTAATTCTCAAGAAAAACTTAGCTTTAAGAATATGATAAAATTCCCTTTTAGAAATCTCAATAAATTTGCTTCCAATTACAAGAGAGAAGAGGATCTCAGCTATTTTATTAAGGAAACAACCAACGAATCTTCAAAGTAGATACAAGCTACTTCTTCTCAGCAAGGTTCGAAATAATCAAGAAAGCAGCAAGCGAAGTTGCAAGAGTAAAAATAAAGAAAGCAAAAAGGGAATGTTAAATAGAGCTAAGTCATAGAGCTTGAGAGTTAAGAGAATAATTAGGAGACTAACAATAACGACTCAAAGAGTGAAAAATCTGGATAATAAGTGACTGGACTGAGACAAAAAAGCACAAGAAATAAAACTAAGCTGATAGACTCAGATTATGTTTATTTTACTAAGCATCAAACAAAAGAAGAAACAGTAGCAGCTGAGAATAAACAAAAGCAAAAGGCGAAGTAGAACAATAAGCAGGTGAGTGAGAATAGCAAGAAAGTAGCTGAAAGTCAAGAAGAAAACAGCGAAGATGAAGGAGACGACGATCATGATAGTGCTAATTTAGAGCAAAAGGCTAAACCAGAACAAGTGAGTGATGGAGACAGAAGTAAAACTTTAGAAAACCTCAAGAAAACATTTATGTAAAACGAAGTCTTCTCAAAGTGTTTGAATAACATTAAAGCAATAGAAAATTAACTCTTTGGCGAATTAAATAAAGACAGAAAGAAATATCTAATAAAAGCTCAACAATTTACAAATCTTTTTAGCAAACTAAGCGCTTATCCTCAGATCAGTAAAAAATTAGTTTCAAAAGGGCTCCAAATGAGTTCATTAGAAAAGCTGATGAATTAATAAGACTCAAGGTTAGAAGCTATTGAGAAGCAAATCAATAATTAATAGGTCTAATAACAAGAAAGCTCATCAGCAGCCTAAAATAACCCCAAAAGCACCTAGCCTTCATCAAATAACAAAAATGCTCAATCTGCAAATTTATCAAATAATAATTATAACTAAACTTCACGCAATTCATCTTAGCAAAGCGCACAAGCATCTTCTCAACTCTAAAAAAATCTTAATTCAACAAAGGAACCTCAGCTTTAGAAAAAAATTAAGCAATTTGATCCTTTGCCTTCTATCCCTGGAATTACTTCTGGCAATAACGCATCTTCATAGAATGCATAAGTAAGAAATAAAAAAAATATATTTAAATTTTCATTTGTTTATAATAAAATAATAAATAGCAAAGCAGCAGCAGCAGTCATAACTCAAATAGTGTTCTCTCAATGCTGATACAGAAGAACGATAGCAGCAAAAGCAATAACAATACAAATAGTGGCAACAATAACACTAATAACAATAATAATAGCAATAGTAATAACAATAATAACAACAATAGGTAAAAGGATAACAACAAATATAATAGCAACAGTGTAAATAATAGCTAAAATAGCTTCTAAAATAAATTCAAAGAAGACCAGCAAAATAAGAAAAACAATTAAAATTATTAGCAGACAAATAACCGCAAGAGAAGAAACCAATAAGCAAACTTCTCAGATGAGTCTGAAAATGAAGAAATTCAGAGCAAAAATGTTGCTTAGCAAGAACTTTCCAAGGATTTATATAAGGGTAGAAACCAAAGCCTTAGCTTTGACGACGACATCAAAATTAACAAAAAAAGCACATTTATTGACTTTGAAAATAAAAAGCAAGAATAAAAGCAGCAATCGCCCTAGAGCTTCAGTCAAAGCCACCAAGTATGCATGAATTGATTAATTAACTTATTTATTTATTGAATTATTTAATATTTACTTAATTAATTAAAAAATAAATAATTTTACATTTTCATTTGGTTTAATTTATTTCGTTCAAAAATAAATAAATAGAGTACAAATGAGGACAAGCAAACGCCCAAATCAAGCATCAATAAGCAGGATGATGAAAATATTGAATAAATTTAGAATATCTTTAATTCCGAGAGCAAATTATACACATTCGACAAGGCAAGCAATAGCAACTAGCAAAGTCAGGGTACAGAACTTTTGTATAACCCAGACGAAGAAGAAGAAGGAGTCTAAGGAGGAGAAGTAGAAATGGATATCTAAAAAATAAACTAACAATATTTTGACTTCGACTATGACCAAAACCCTGCTGGAACTTTGTCTGAAACCAACCAAAACAACAGCAATAACAGCAACAATAAAGTTAACAATAACCAATAAAACAACAGCAGCATAAACTATCAAAATGATGCAGAAAAAGATAACCTTTACTAAAAGAACTCAAGCAGCTTAAAGTAAAAGAGTGATTCATTCACGAACAAAGAAGCTTATCAGAATTAAATGGAAGAAGAGCTAGATGTTCCAATCCCAGAAGACTCGATTGTAAGAATCTGTTCATCATCAATCAAACCATAAAAAAATATGGATTCAATTAAAATCTACATGCACACCTTAGAACCTATCAAAAAACTTAACTAGTTCCCTCTAACCTAATTAATATAAAATCTAGAGGTTAAGTGTGCCTATACAGGATTCGATGATGTCAATTCCTACATATCTACATATACATCTAGATCTAAATCAAAGCCATAACTTATGGTAATGAAGGGTTGGATAGAGGTCCAAAATCCAAAAAAAGATTCAGAAAACTTCTTACAGTTAATCAAATAGTAGGATGAAAAAAAGAAGGTAAAAAATTAATCATTTTACCTATTAATTTTTTAAAATTATTTTATAACTTATTCCTAATACTAATTTTAATTTTTACTTTTTATAAATCTATTCATTTAAAATCAGCTTAATCAATCATTCATTTTTTTAAACAAATTTAGATTAATTTTCTTCTATTTCTTAATGCACTTATTTAATTGTTTTTTATTTTATTAGGTTTTAGGATACAAGATTGGTTCAGTATTTTTCAATGTTTTCACTGAAAGCCAGATTAAGAAGACAGACTATAAATTTGATATCAAACCTTTTAACTCTGACAATGCTGCTGTTCAATATTTTGTAATAACAAAGAAAATGAGCGAGCCAAAACCTGATGAACCAAATAATTACGAGTTTGTTAAATTCTGCACAAACTTAAATCCTCCAAACTCCTTGCAAGGGATTAGTCCTATCATTTCAGATAATGAAGATGATGAAAATATTATGAGTAAGAGAGATTCTATTTTCGATGACAAGTAATACAAAATTTATTCAGCAAACAAATCCTAAACTACAATTTAATTAAATTAACTTTAGATACAACGAGGATAGCCAATAAGATCTTAAATTAGACATCATTGATTTTAACTAAGTAATTAATTCTAACAAATCAAATATTTATTCATTTAATTTAATTTTTAGATTCAACAATAAATCTAAGAGCTTCCTACTGCTGATGTTCCTTAACCAAGTCTAGATGACAAACAGCCTTCTTTCGATCACTTGAGCCAACCTCATAGCTACTAAGCTCATGGACATCACTAATAACAGCCTTATCAAGGACAATACAATAGTTATTAGAGATAACAACCACCACCACCACCAATTCCTTAAATTAACTAGCAAGGATTTCCTTCTAACATTCCTATTGTTCCTCCAAGTTAGATGCCATTCAACCACTCAAATTAATCCTTCTCAAACACTATGCCAAATTATAATTTGAACTCTACTCCTACCCACATGCAAATGGGAGGACCTCATCAATAATAGCAATAACCACACCATCACCTTCACTCTGGAAATCCTATCAACTACAACCAGCAAGTACCACCTTAACAAATTGCTCCTTCTCCTCTTGTTTAAAACAATATGAGCATAGAGCAACAGGATAACGAAAAGAAAGATCTATCTCATGACTTGAATGATATTTCTAATTCCTAAATGATCAACGAGTCCAATTTAGAGCTCTTTGATTTTGATGACTTAGATTAGCTTAAAATGTTATTAGAAAATGATAATGCAGGAACTCCTTCAGCTTAAAGCAGCACTCTTTAATCTAGTTAGCCTCCCACTGTTTAAATTCCTCCTCCACAGTAATAATATCATAAAATGGGTTCAAATTAAAAATAACCTCCTTTACCAGGTTAAGCCCCTCCATTCATGCATTCAAATCAAACATAAGGCAATTTGAATGAATCAGGCTCAGCTCAAAACTAAAATCCTAATATTGATCCTAACCTTTAATAATTAATAATCAGTCAACGCTCTAAACCTGCTTACGAAATGAATCCTTAAATCCAACCCCCATTCCCTAATTAAGCTCAGCAACAATAACAACCTCCTTAAACATAACCAAACTATCAGAATAAGCCCTACCCTCCTCAATAATAACAAAATTTAATTCCCCCTCCTCCTGTTCCCCACCAAATTGGTAACCAAAGCTAAATGCAACCATCTCATCCCCAGCAGTATCATGGTCATTAATAACAAGGACATATGTAAGGTTAATAATGGAATCAATCTAACCAACAAGGTAATTCTCAATACATTAGAAATGCTCCAAACCAAAATAAGAACCCACAATACGGAATGAACAACCAAAATTCGAACTCATACTAAAAAGGAATGCCTAATATTCCACCTACTCCTCACCCAGGATAAATGCCTAACTAGTAATAAAATATGAACCTATAAAATTACAATAATTAAAACATGGGTAGACAGTACTCTCACAATCCCCAACACAACTAAAACAGTAATCAAAGTGGAGCCAACAATATGAACGTAAATTTTTTTATCTTTTTAAATTATTATTTTAAAAAATTATTTTAATTTTTACAGAGACAACCCAGATACAATAATAACAACAACCAAGGATACGGTGGATCTCAATACAACAATAATAATCCAAATAATTAGAATCAATAACAATGTAAGTTTAACAAAAAATCTCAAGAAATTAATAAATTTTTAATAAAAACATAGAAAATTACAATAAATTCCAGAGAGGAAACTAGAATGCCATGAACAATAATAACAATGGAAACACTCCTAACAAAGGTGGACATGGATACCAACAACATAAAAATCCATTTGGATCGTAAAAATACATTAAAAAAATTTTTTGTGATTAATATTTATTTATGAATAAAATTAAAACAGGAGACAGTAAGCCCATTACCAAAGAAACAATTAGCCCTACACAGCCCACAATCCCGTTCCTTTCTAAGACCCAAATACAATGGATAATTAACTCATGTAACAATAATAAATGTAATATCACCCACAACAGAATGATAACATGGGAGATTTAGACTAAAGAGACTACTCTTGAATAAAAAAGAAGCCTTAATAAATAAATTAATAAAATAATTGATTCTTTCATTTATTAAAAATGACAAATTAACTTCTTCAATTAACTTAACTAATCTCTCCCATTCATTTATAAATTCCACTCACACTCACATACACAAATACTCACTCACATATTAATTATTATAAACGCATTCATTTATGATTAAATATTTATTTTGTATTTATCTCCAGAAACCTATAAAAATATTTTATAATTTATATAGAAATAAATATTTATATTTTCAAGCATTTATTTTTTTTCTCAATTCAATTAAATATTTGTTTTTTAATTTTATTTATTTTTTATCTTCTTTGTATTTATTTTACTTCATTCTTTTCATTATATTAAAAATCATATAATCATCTCTATCAATACTTTTTGACTTCTATCAAAATCTTAATTTAGAAATATTTATTTCTATTAAAAAAAGCTTTTCTATTATTATAATTAAATTGTAATATGGATATTTATTTGAAAAATAAATAATGAAACAAATCTCTTGTCAATTAATTAAAAATTTTTCAATTTTTTACAAAATAATAAATAAACAATTAAATAAATAAAATGTCTTTTTATGAATTTAAATTATAAAATAAAAATAAATTAATAAAATTTTTATTGGTAAAGAATAATATAAATATAGAATCCAAGAATATCAAATAATACAATATGGAAATTTAAATATGATGAATAATAGAATTTAGAATTGAAATTTTCTATTTATTTTCTATAAATCTTAAAATTCGCTTTATCCTTATCAAAATTTTTACAAATTTATCTACATATCTATGTGTTGATAACTTTGCTAATATTATATCTTTGTTAGAAAGTGAATAAGTATTAATAATCTCTGTGAAGTACATTTTTTACTAAACTTATCTTGATAAGTCTTCATTAATATTTTAAAATTTTATTTATTTTTTTACTGTTTTCAGACATACAATAAAATTTGATGATCACAATAGTTCTCATGGTAACTTAATAGTATTAACTAAATTAATTATGAGTGGAATTTTAATTAAAATATTTACAAAAATAGATAGATACTTTTTGAGATAATTATTTATGTATTCCATTCATTTTTGAATACAATTTTTTCAAAAAATAAGAATCTCAATTTTTTTAAAATATTCAAATTTAGTTTTTTCAAATCTTTAATTTTACCATTAATTACCTCATTTATAATTTATAGAAATCATGGTTTTAAGATAAATCTTTTTAAAAAATTTATTTTTCTAAATAAGAAAATTTATGAATTTATGAAAAAGTAGATAAATAAATTTTTGTTCATTATGTTACTTAATTTATATAACTGATATTCGAACATTTAAATAAAACTTTTATGGAACTTAAATCTTCACAAATTATTTGTCATTTATTTTCAAATTTTATTTGATATGTTGTGTTTTTGAGATTTTTTCTGAGATAAAAAAAATAAAACTAGCTTTGCAAATAAATCAAAAATATCCTACTTTCTTTGTCATTCTCTTCATTTTTAAGATTATTTATCTTAACAAAGTTAACTAACTTTAATTTTTTATGATCTTACACTCCCTATTTATATTTATTTATTTATTTAAATTTATTATCAAATTTAAAAATTAAAAATAATTTAAATGAATAAAATTGAGGATTTAATATTTATTTTGCTAATATTAATCCTAAACTTTAATAAGTTAAAAAAAATATAAAAAAAAAGTTTTACTAAATAGTGAGTACAAGAGTATTGAGATAAATACACTTTCCTAAAGCATAAACAATCTTTTATAAACCTTCATTAGTAATTTGATTTTCACTTTTGATTATTTATTAAACGTAAATATTACAATTAAATGGAATAAAGAAGAATTTTTAATCAAGTTTAAAATTAAAATACAACTTTCAAATTTAAAAATAAGGAAGAAGTGTCTAGCTATAATATTTTAATTGATCAAATTGATGTAAAAAATAATAATTGACAAAAAAAATAAAAATATTAATTTGACTGGCTAAAATAAAATAGCATTTAGATTTTTGTTTCAATTTGATAAAATAATTTTTACTCAAGAATTAGTTTTAAGTACTTAAGATAAGTGCATCTTTCGAAAGCTTAAGATAATGCTAACGCTTAGTCTTTATCTAGTCCACAAGAGCTATAAGTTTATATAATATAAAGCTTTAATTGATAAATATTTATTTGAAAATTAAAATTATTCATAATATCTATTTTAATAATTAATTATTTGATTAAAAGAACAATTCAATTTTCAACAAATTAATCAGGCTTTCATTTCTAAATTTTTTTTTTTTTAAATTAATCTCTAAAATTTTCAAAAAAATTTATTACTGAAGTTCAAGTTCGAGTATTGAGAGATTAGTAAAATTTTATAGAGCAGATGCTAAATTTTTAGTGCCTAAAGCCCCTATTTAATTGTTCCTTTTAAATATTTAAAATTAATATTATATCATAGAAAACTATTTATTTAAACCAAGGAAATGTTCAATTTCAAATATTAAATTAATAAAAATGATTAAAAAAATTCAATAATACTTAAAAAACCTCCATTTTTAAGCTTTTTAAATAACTCAAGAATAGAAATAAATATGTAATTACTTGATGCAAAGTTTTAAATTTTTGAGATTAACACATTTAGATAGACAAGAAAACAACTATGATGAACTACTTTCGCAAATTATTTCCTCACTTTGAAAAAAATAAATTTTAATTAAATAAAAAATTAGAAAATAAATAAAACAAGATGAATAGGTAAATAAAATAAGTAATTTTTTTATTAATCTATATTAGAAATAAATATAGTTATTTTATTCAATTTTACCTCAAATTAATAGAAAAACTTTGTAATTTCAAGGGATTTTTAAAATCAAAACTTAAATTTTATACTAAAGCATCATCATTGAGTTTTTTAGTGCTTTTTATATTTTTATTATTTAATTATTATTTTAATTTACAATTTGAAAAATTTTAAGTATGAAATTAATTTAAACAAATAAAGAAGTTAAAATTAATAAAAATAAGTATACTGTAGATCCCTATTTATTTATTAATTAATTAAGGATCTGTCCTAACTTTTAATTTATTTTTTGATTAAAGCTTGCCATAAATAATATTCTTTATTTATTTTACTTTAATTAATGAGGATTTATAGTAATTAAAATATAAGATTCAAATTCATTTAAGATATTATTAGTATATGATTAAAATCCATAAGAGCCAAACAAAATTATTTACTTGAGCTGTAGTTGTAAATTTTAAAGATTATTATTCTTTGAAATAGTAATACACAAATCTTATATGCCTTCTTCATTTAATTGCCTTCAATTTGTAATATTAATTAAAAATTAATATCCTTAAGATGAAAATAAAAATGCTAAAAGAATAAAATGAAAGTAGTGTAGTTATGCTTTAAAGAAAAAAGTAAGTCTTAGATTCAGAATTTTATGTAAATTTATAACAAAAATTATCAAAAATATTTTAAATTGGTTATTACTCTAATTAGAGAGCTATATCTGAAAGATTAGTGCAATTTGCTAACGATAGACCAAAGTCTGAAATACCATCTTATTCAATATAGTTTTATCTATTTTATATTTAGGATAAATAATAATTTTTTTTTATATAAAAAAACAAGAAAATCATAAATTTCAATTTGATGAGTAAATATATTAGATAGATAGATTTATTGATTGATAAACAAATAAATAAATGAAGTAAAATCAATTTTTAAATTAAAAAAAATAAATTATAAATTTTTTACTACAAATCTATATTCAGATATTTTAGTTTAGTATTTTGTTGCAAAAATTAGGCTAATTCTAGAAGAGTATCTCCATAAATTTTATTTTTTCTTTTTTATATTTACAAAATATTTATTTTATCCTTAAATATAAAATTAAGTCAATAAAAATATTAAAATATGATGAATGAATAATGAATAATAAAGTTTTTATATTTTTGGTTTAATTTTGTTAAATAAATTGAAAAAGTTGCTTACTTAAGATCAAGTGTTAATTTTGAGATACTAATGCTTTTTGCTAGACCTTCACATAAACCTTTAATTTCTTCAGCTCCTAATTAATTTTCGCTTTTTATTTAAAAACATATAAATTTTCTATTTTAATTAATTGATTATTATATGAATAAACAAAACTATATTAAAATTAAAATATTGAACCTCAACGTCTAAAAAATTTCCTATTTTACCTTAAGTTTAGAGCTAAATCATAGAGATTTGTTAATTTAGCTACGCTATTTCCTAAATCTAGTAGTCCTTTTGCACCAATCATATTACATCTATTATTACATTTAATATATTTTATTAAGGATTGATCAGTGGAGAAACAAAAAAAGAATAGGAATCAAATTTATTAACATATAAAAGTTTATTCAATTTGTTTAAATTCTTTGAAAGAATAAAATTAATAATTATAAGATGTTTAAATTGATCAAAAAAACTAATGAATAAATTAGGGAAAAAAATTATTTATAACAAATAAAAGTTATTAATTTAGGTTTTAGAAAAAAATATAAAATATTACTCAAAGTTTAGTCTTAGCTATTAGAGATTTGTAAACTTTTCTAAAGTAAAGGATAGGATTTAAGTACTCTCATTATTAAGCATATACTATGGCATATATTAACTAGATCAATTAATATTTAATAAAATTATATTTAATAAACTTTCTCAAATAAATAAATAAGTAAGTAAATACTAAGTTTGTATAAAAATATTAATATCTTTTATTATTTTTAGGGGGAAATAAAAAGTAATAATGCATTTTTTCAAATGTTAATAAATCCTCTCCCTTAAAACGCTTTAATTTTTAAACTTTGTGGAATAAATTTATGAAACTTCCCCCTTAAATAAAATAGAAATGACAATTATCTGATTATTTTACTTTAAAGATAGAGTCAAATTTTAGAGCTTTGATTACTTTTCAATACCAGAGCATAAATTTTTTACACCCTTAATGCCAAAGTCATTGTAACTTTTAATTATTTATATAATATATTTATTAAGCAATGCCGAAAAAACAAATTTTAAGAGAAATATGCAATAAAGACAAAGTAAATTATTATAAGATAAACAAAACAAATATTTAATTAAATAATATTTTACAAAATACTTAGATCTAAATTCAAAAGATTACAAAATTTTGCAAGATATTAACCTAATTCTAAAATACTACCATCATAACAGCTATTACTTTTATTATAAAAACATAAATTTGTGATTTTTTCTTACTTTAAAAAATTTAATCAAATAAAAATTAAAATCTTATCTTATTTATTTAAATTATAAAATAGCAAAATAAAATAAATTAATCTTCTTGTAATATCAAGAGTATGGAAAAAGGAATATAATTTTAAAGAAATAGAAAACTAAAAAGCAATAATAATCTTTTTTACCGAATGACAAGTTTCAAGCTTGATAGTTTATTTAATTTAGCTAAAGATGGAATTATGGACGAAGCTTCCTTCTGATCAATATAATTTCTGTTAGTATATTATTACAAAAATTAATCAGTTTGAAAAATTCAAAGAAGAAAATTAAAAGGATTAATTTAAATATAAAAAACTTATTAAAATTTAAAGATTCACTAAAATAGCCTGAAAAAGTAAAATATTATAAAAAAAACTTCATTTATTATTATTATTATTATTAAAATAAAACAATTATCCTTACAAGTTAATAGATAGATTTTCTAATTTAGAACACTTTCCTATAACTAAGCATAAACGTTATAATTCACTTCTACTAAGATTAAAACGGCTTTTAAATATTTTAATATGCACTTATTAGTTAATTTTAAAAATGTAATATAAAATAAATGAGAAATAAATTAATATTATGCTGTAAATTCTTTTATTTATGATTATCCCAACATTTAATTGTTTTAAATTCATCTTTAAAAAAAATGAAATTTGGCTATAATATGAGATTTAGTTTTATTTTTTATAAAAAATAAAAAATTGAAGTATGTTTTGTTCATATCAAGCAAATAAGGAATAAAAAAAATATTATTTAAATTGTATATAAAAATAAAGAACTAATTTAACTTCACATTAAATGATAACTATTAAAGTTAAGAACATTTCTTAAAGACATTCCATAAGTTTGATACATCCTACTCTTTAAATTCTGAATATGTATACCTATAATCACTATATTTGTAAAAATTAATAATTTAGTTTATTTCAAAAAAAAATAGTATAAAAATAATTGAAAATTAAGGAATCAAATGAAATAGATTAATTATGTATGTAGTATTTATGTGAAAAGCTTATTTGCTTGTACAAAAAGAAAAATATTAAATAATAAGAGTGACTGAATACTAGGTAATATTAAAAAATAATAGATAAATATTCAATAAATTTTACTTCAGCTCAAGATCTAAATGAGTAAGATATTATAGAGGAGAGTTTAATAACTAAAAAAAAATAATAGATTAGAATATAAAATAACAAAAAAATTAATTACATCTTCAATTTTTTTTCTTAAGAGAAATCTTTATGCCATTTTTTTTAATTTTCAAATACAGAATTTAAAAATGTAGGTAATGAAAGTATGTTAGAAATAATTAATTAATTTTATGCTATTATGCTATTTATGGCAGGTATTATATATATATATTTCTTTTCTATGAAGACCTAATTAAATTTATAGAGATATCAAATAAATAAATAAATTAAACATATTTTTATTTTTCTATGGTTTTTTTATGAATACCTAATTAAATTTATTTATTTATCAAATAAATTAATTAAGTATTTTTCTATATTTATCTATATAACTATTTCTTTCTCCTAATTAATTTTGTTTTCAAAATTAAAAGTTTATTAAAATTCTTATCAATTAAAAATGTTTCTGTTACTTACTAATTTTGATACAAAAGATAAATTACATTTGTTTTACTATATTTATTTAGTAATATTCAATAAATTAAAGGAGATATCAAATTAATTTTACATATCTACCATAACTAAGTCATAATTTTTAGATAAATTAGCTTGAAGACAAACAAACATCTTGCTCCATTTAGATATCAAAAATTAAATCTTTAATTAAGAATATTAGAATAATTTTTGTATTGAGTTTTCTTTTCTAAATAAATTAAGGAAGCACTTTAGATAATTAAGCAAGCACAATATTATTTTTATTAGCTCTAACTACCATTAATAGGTTGATAATTAATTGCTTCTTACTATCTAATAATTTTTAACAATAAAATATCTTTTTTCAAAATAAACTTGACAAAAAAATGGTTTTTTCATCAGTGTAAATACTAGCTTCTTTTTACTAATCTCTATTTGTTTAATTATTAATTTGTCTTACAATACTCTTTTTTAAATAATAAGTTACAATATTTAAATTTTATATTATTAAATAATCACAATAACTAAAAGAGCTAACTACTAGTATTGGCGCTAATACTAATCATTATAATTATATAAAAAAAATTATTATAAATCTAAAATCAGGCTCAATATGATAACATAATATATAAAATTTATCAAAATAAAAAATTTTTTCCAAATATGAAAAATTTTTAATTTAAAAAAATAACTCAATAAAAATAATTTATTAATTAATTAATACATATTTTGAAAATTATATTTAAAATAAATTAACAAACAAACACATTAAAAAAAAAAATTATTTATTACTTAGATATATTAATTACTTTTAACATAAAAATATTTCAATATTTCTTAATTCTTTCAACTCAAATTATTTAAGTAAAAATTATTTTTTTCTACACTAATTTATTGAATTTCATAAATTTTGAGATAAGCTTTTACTTTTCCAATTCATCAAAATTATTAATGCTTTTAATTAAAATTAAAATTTAATTTTGTTAAATTTTTGTGTTTGTTTTGTTTGAATTAGTTAGTTAGTAATGGTCTAGTTCTAAAAATTACTATCCTTATCAAACCTATTAAGCCAATTAAAGTATTTAAGAAAAATAAATATTCAATGACAAAAGTTCTCAAAATAGTTGAAATATTTTGCTTTTTGTGATGAAATGTGAATATCATTTTAAAAAGTTGAATGTACAATTTTAACAACTTATTAAATTTTATTCTTTTAATAAAATATACTAATTCAAACAATTCTAAAAATTCATTTTGATATTTTACTTGAAGTAAATATTAAGTTCATATAATTTAGAACATTTAAGTAACCCAGAGCATAAGCTAGATGCGCCTGTAAGAGCAATGTTGTTCTCACTTTTATTTATTAAATATAATAAAGATGATTTGAAAATACTTTAGTATTTTTTATAATAAAACACAAATCTCTTTTATTTTAAATTTTTATTACTGTAAGTAGATTTTAAGACTGCAAAGATTGGAAATTTTTGATAGGGCAGAACCTAAATTTTATGCTCCTTCTTCTCCAATCATGTTTTTTCTAAAATTTATTTTATTTATTAAAGATAAAAAATAAATAAACTAAATATTTAGATTAGTGGATTTACTGTAGATTAATGCTTAATTGCGAAATGGCTTGATTATGTTCCAAAGGAGAAAATAAACTAGATATACTACTTCCACTAATTGCATTTCCACTTTTTTAAAATGTTTATAGCCAAAATTTATTTTAATCATTCTAAATAATGAACAATTAATTTTTTACATTAGATTTATATTAAAATCTGAGAGGTTTTTCAGCTTAGCTAAAGAATTTCCGAAATCTGAAATATCATCATCTACTATTTTACTTTTTCTATTAAGTTAAAGAATAATCATTCAATCTTTACTGATAAAAATGTTTAAAAAAATTTATTTTAAAGCTCAAAAACATTTTTTTAAAATTTTATTATTTGTTTATCTCTTAAGAGGCTATAGAATATTATATGTCCTTTACAAATATAAAGGAAAGCAATAATCATTTATTATATCAATACATTAAATTTAGAGCAAGTTTTGAAAGTTTAGCACAACCAGATAATCCTTCACATAATTCAGCTGCACCCTTTGTTCCAATATTGTTTTATCTTTGATAAAAAAAATTATGTTAAAGCATCTTATAATTTATTAATCTGAATTTTAATTTAAACTAAAATGATTTTTTAATAATTTAAATAGCCAAAAAAAAAAAATTTATGCTTGATAAATTATCAACAAACAAACCACTTCTTATTAATAAAAATAGTTCAAGACTCAATGTAAAAGCTAACAAAATAGATCAGATTTTTTATTAAATTGAGGATAAAATTTAGAAAAGTATTTTTACGGAAGATCAAGTTCCAAAGATGTAAGTGAGCTACATTTAGATATACCAAGACCTAAACCAGAAGCACCTAAATGGCCTATATTGTTGCTACTAAATATATTAAAACAGTTATTTAATATTATACAGCAAACAAAATCTATATAAATGCAATTAAAGTCTTATTAGGCTTTGCTTAGAATCAATATAATTAAAAATTATGGATGCTAATTCCCCATATTAATATTAGCTTCTTTAATTTAAGTTGATAATATCTCATTAATTTCTTTTAACAAAATCTTAAAAATTGTTATGATATTTACTAGAAGTTAATATTTAAAACTGTGAGGCTTGAACAATTAGCCAAAGCAGAGCCTAATCCAACAGCACCTTCATTTCCAATATTACAGAATCTTTAAATAAAACAATTTATTTTAATAGAAGCAATCGTAAATTTAAAGAATTTTCTCTCAATAACTTTTAAAAATTATAATTTAAATCGCATTTTTCTTGAAATAATTCTAAGATTTTTAATATCTGTCTTGAGAAAAGCTAAAAAAACATATATCAATAAATATTACTAAAAGTCTAATGTCAAAATAGATAATTTAGAGCAATTTGCTATTCCTAAAGAAAGATCTGATACTCCTTTTGACCCGATATTATTAGAGCTTTCAATTAAATAAAATAAATTTTACTCATAAAAAGTATTTAAACTATTAATAAAAATCTTTAAATAAATAAATTAACTAATAGCTTTATTCTATAAATAAATTGATTAAGTTATATATTAAAACTTCAAGTAAAGTATTTCAATATTTTAAGATGTATTGTAATGTTACCCTAAATGTAAATTCAATTGTTGAAGATTTTTGCAATTAGATAGGGAAGAGCCTAATTTTTAAGCACCAGTGAAACTAATTTTGTTGTAACTTTTAATTAATTTATTAATTAATTATTTAAATAAAGACTTAATGATTAGAATGGAGGAAATAGATTAATATTTTGTTGCTTTAAAGTTAACTAGCGCAATTTTTTTGCTAAGAGTTAAAATTTAAACAAACTAAGTACAAAATTACTTCAAAATAAGAGTCAAATTAGATAGATTGGAGCAGTTTTCTAAAGCTAGACCTAAATTTTAGACATTTTAATCTCCAATATTTTGGTTTCTTTTATATTATATTTCTCATTAATTAACAAATATTTAATAATTTTCTCAATCTTCAAATAGCAAATAAAATATTTTTTAGCAGGGTCTTAATTTTAAGAAGTTATATATTTTTTTAAAACTACAAATTGCTTAAAATATTTGCAGTTTTTTATTTTAAAAATATGGATTAAATATAATTAATGAATGAATCCCTGTTATTTTAATTTATTTATTTATTTTATTAAGTATCTAAATTTGAAGACTAGAAAGAGTATTTTTTTGTAAGTAAATAAATATGATATACCCATAATCAACAACCAGGTTAGCCTCATTAGAAAATGAAAAGTTTAGTTACTTTTGCTATAAAATAATAATAATTAGTCATAATTTGTAAGACTTTTTAGTTACTTCTTCTTAAGCGTTATAATATATCACTTATTGATTCTATTTTTATTTTTAAGAGTTACCCATTTTCTTTTACTTATTTACTTATATCTTAATTTTAAGCTTTAGTCTAATAAATTATATATTCTAAATATTAAGCCCTTTTTTAAAGTTAGACTTATTTACCAATAAATGACGCAATTTATTTATTTAATTTATTTAGGTTACATTTATTTATGTCTAAAAAGTTTAATTAAATTTCAATCTAAAAATAAGTAAAAAATACATTAAAATCAACTTAGTTTTAAAAATAAAATATTTCTTTAAGCTAAAAATATTCATTTTAAAATTCTTTTTCAAGTAAAAAACTTAAAAAACAAAAAAATATTTTATTAAATTATGAAAAAATAATTAAGTAAATAAATAAATAAATTAGTAATAATTATTATCAATTTATAGTTTTTGTTGTAATTTAAAGTAATTATTTATTTTTTTAAATTGAATGCAATAATATATGTTAGTTAATAAAAAATATTCAAGCCGTAATTAAATGTTTTATATTGAAACATAAATATCAATTAACAAATTAAGTAAAGAGATTAGCAGATATCATAAGTACAATATTTTCTATGTTAATCTTTTTCCTTTTAAAATACTTTTTTTCAATTTAGCCTTCTGAACAGCTCCAAGAGAGTTATAGCTTTAAAAATATTAAAAATAAATAATCATTAATTCAAAAATTAGAAATTTTTCTGAAACAAATAAACTGAAATAATAAAAAATGTTAATTTTTATTGTGAAAATACTAGTAAAAAATAATAAATAAAATATCCTAAATTAAAATTTCTTTATTTTTTCATAACAAACAACTTTGTTTTAATTTTTTATTCTTAAATTTATTGTAAAAAAGGATATTTTTTTTTCTGCTTACTTAAAATCTAGTTTGAGGAATAATAGACTAGGATAATGAGCTATAATATTACCCAAAGATGATACGTCTTAGAATCCGATATTGTTATCACTTTTATTAAAAATAATTAATTTTATTCCAAAAAAATTGAATTATAAATTAAAATCTATGAAATATCCAAAATATTTTTAGAGAAGTAGATTAAATTTTATTAATTAATTAATTATCATTAATTAAGATCTAAAAAAATCAAATTATAATTTTACCTCATGAATAAAGACAAAAATTGAAGCTTCATGCAGTGAGATAGAGAATTACCTAAATCTAATGTACCTTTTGATCTAATACTATTCGTCCTTTTTTTTTTTAATTTAATACATTTAACATTTTAAATTTGTTTATAAATAATAAAATAAATTTGAAAAAATAAAAAAGTAAAGAGCAAAAAGAATAAAATAGCTGAAAAACTGCCTGCCTTCATTTTTTTATTTTTTAATTTTAAATTGATAGGAAATAAGTATTAAAGTTTTATATAGAGCTGATATAAGTATTTTTACTAAAGTTCAAGCTTTAAAGTTATTAGATTTTTACACTTAGCTAAATCAACAGCTAATTATGTAGCTCCATCATCACCTATTTCATTCTTCCTTTTTAAATATAAATAAAAATTTATTAAAATGATATAAATTTACAAATAATTATATTTATATAATCAATTCTTTGAAGAAATAATTTTTTGTTTTGTTTTTTTAAGAAATATTTTATACCTTATGGTGAGTTCTAAATGAGAGAGATTTGGGATTTATGCAATTGCAGAAGACACTCCAGAAACTCCTTTATTTGTGATATTGTTTTCCCTATTTATTATTTCAAAAAAATTTAAGATATTTAATTTCAAAAATATTATTTAATATTTTAAAATAACATCATCTAATTTATTTATACAAAAGTAGAAATTTTAAAATAAATATAGAGAGAGAGAGAGGGTTATAAAAAATTTCAATCAAAATTTTTATAACTATTTTGTATTTAAAAATTTTATTAAATCAATAACATTTATTGAAATTGTTTTTGGAGCCCTCTAAATAAAAACTAAGACTATATCAAAAAGCTTAAAAACAAAAAAAGGGATAGCTTTATTGTTTATCAAATTGTGGGTCATTAAGTTTAGGTAATTAATTGATTATTAAATTAAATAATAGGCTAAAGGTTAAACACAAAACTTAAAATCTAAATAAAAGGAAATTTATATCTCTCAATCTTAGTTTATAGAGTTCAAAATCATTTGGTTTTATATATATAATTGACTATAAATGATAAATTTTAAGGAAGAAACTAAGTCTATTCATTTACCTGAGATCAAGTATCAATTTAGTAATCTTAGAACACTTAGCTAACCCTTTACCAAAGCCTAACGCTCCTTTAGGTCCAATTTAGTTATCCCTTTTAACGAAATTCATATTAAAAAAGCATAACATATTGATATTTGAAAATAATTAAAACTTAATCAAAAGAAAAAGTAAATAAACAATTTTTTCTACGCTATTTAAAGCTTACAAAAATTGATATTAGCCCAGCATGCTAAAGCAGAACCTAGAGAAGCTATACCCTCATCGCCAATTTAATTCCTTTTTATATAAATTAACAATAAATATCTAACAAATGAATAGTATTTTTAAAATAAAATAAATTCTCAATTAAAAAAGATAATTAATTAGTAAAAACTTTATTAAATTTTTTGATAGCTTATAAAATATGCTAAATATAATTACAAATTAATATGAATTAAAATGAACTTTCTTACTTATGCTATAAATCAATTGAAAAGCTTTAGAGATTCTTACATTTAGCTAAGTTAGTAAATAGACCTACAGCTCCCTTTGATCCAAGCTTATTGTAGCTTTTTTAAAATAGTAATAAAAAAAATTTTTTTTTTAATTTTGAAGTAATTAGTTATTAACTAAAATAATAAAATTAAATTTCATGAAAATAGCTAAACATTTTAAGTGTTTGCATAAAAATAAATAGTATTTCTAAATTTGTGATTCAAATAAACAAATTAAATCAACTTTCTTTCTTTACCTTAAATCTAGATTTAATTCTTAAAGGTTTGGGCAACGCGCTAAAGAAACACCTACTTCAGTTGCTCCTTCTGCTTCAATTAAATTACTTCTTTTTAAATTAAGCATTGAAAATAAATCTAAAATGAAGTAAGTAAACAAGTAAATTATATTTTGAATAAAATATGTGACTTGGTAGGTATTTATTTATTTCTTTAATCGATTAATTAATTATTAAATAAAATTAAATCAATTAATTTGTATTGAAATTTAATACTTTTTATTCTCTTATTTTTGTTAGTTTGTAATATTAATTTGATTATTTACCCCAAATTATACACTAAATTTTTCAGTGAAAAGCATTGTAAAGCAAAATTAAGCCCAGTTAAGCCTATATCAGCAATGTTATTTTCGCTTTTAGGATATTATTCATAAAAGATGATCAATATTATTAATATTAAATTAAAAAAATATTTTTAGCAATTTAAGTAAATAGTTCTACTAAAAATAAATCTAGGAATAAGTAAATAATTAACAAATTATCTTTACTAAAGAGAAAGTTTTAAATTTTCGATTTATCTACAGTTTGCTAAATCTAATCCCAATGCTGATACAGCACTGCTACCGATAGAGTTAAATCTAATATAATATTATTAATTTTATTTTAGTTCAAGATAGGTAAAATAAATAATGTTTGTAAATAAATGAACATGTAATTATTTTAACTAATTATTTAATTAATAAATGAATGAATGAATGTATTTATGAATAAATTAGAGATCAACTCGGAATTATTAAGGATTTATTCAAAATATTAAATTGTTATATTGTTAGTAAAATTAATATAAATAATCAATTCTAAATTTAAATTTTTAAATAAATTGTACATACTAGAGTTATAGATTCAAACTTTTCAGATTCAAGCATTATGCCAAAGCAGGGCCTAATATGGAAGCACCCTTTGCTCTAATCATTTCTCTTCTTTATATATTTTAAAATTAATTTGAATTAAATAAATAAAATAGGAATATAATAAAAAATTATTATTAAAAAGTGCTATTTTTAAATAAATATTAATATTTATTTAATAAAGAATAACAAACTAACTAACCAATTTTTCACAAGTAAAAAAACTAAAAACAACTTGAATATAAAAATGGCTTTAGGATTATTAAGAAATCATTTTAAATTTTATTAGCTCAGAGGCATTTGCATTTTCTTACTTATTTTGAAAATTTAATTTGCCTATTATTGAAAATTTATTTTTAATTTTTATTACATAAGAATAACTTCTAGATCAACGTGAGTTGATAATGAGGACTAAACAAACTTTTTTTTCAGTAAAAAATGAATTAAAGTTATTATTAACTAAAATATCAAGTTACATCGTCTAGTTCTTTAAATATTTATTTTTTTATGTCCATTTTTTTATTTTAATATTTTGCCTTTAAAGAAAAATAAATAAAATTTGATGTATTTTTAATTACAAATAAAGAAATTAATAAATAAATAAATTGATTAATAAGTAATATTTATAAATTAATATTTAAAAAGCTTATTCTATTTAATTTAAATAATCTATATCATTTTTTACATAAAATAAACATAGTTATTCAGTTATTATTTACCCCAATAAATCAAAAAATTTTCTCCAACTAAAGCTAATTAATTTAATAATTTATTTATTTAAATGAATGATTTCTGTCTGTACCTAGATAGTTGGCAATATTTTAATTTTAGGATTAGCAATATATATTTTTAGAATAAATTGATTTTTAAAATATTTATTTATGTATTTATGATAATTTCATTCTATATTATATCTCTATTAAATAAATGTAAAATATTAAGTAACATCTTAAATTGAAAAACGATAAACTTGTAATAGTTAGTTGACAGTATTTAGATGGATAAGTCAATAAATGAGTAAAAGGATTGATTGATAGATATTACTTAAGTTAGTTGTGTAAACAATATAAAAATTTAATTTGATTACAAAAATATTCTTTACTTATTTCTAAAGATAATAAGACAAATAGCTAGATAGATAAATATAGATAAAAGTTAATAACAATATTTTGAATATTTTAAAATAAAATGACTGATTTTTTTAAGCAAACGTATGTTAAGCACTTTATTTGGACATAGGCATAGGCTTTAGTTTCTTTTATATTTATTACTTACTTGCTTATTTCTGGAACTAGTGTTGCTTGGCAAATATATCACTGGATTGCTGTTTTATTTTTTTATATGTTTATTCAATATGTTTTAATTTGGCATCCTGAAACTGACATGACTCGTACTTTAAATGCCTGTAACTGCATAATTTTAATGATTTGCTTGCCTACCTTTTTGTATTTTTATTTTGCTATTTTATTACCTGCTGCTGAAACAACCGATTTAGAGTTTATTTAGGTAGAAAAATGTGTAGTTTCTGGTATTACAAAGACAAGTTTAGATGGTAATGAAGCATATTCTCTTACTTACATCAATTTTGTTTAAAATGGCGTTTCATACCTTGGATCAGGATGTTTGACTAATTAGTATTAAGCAAATTCACTTAATCCAATTCCTCCTTATAAAATTTTAAAAATGAATGACACATTTGAGTAATTTAATTCAATTCAATTTTATTTAATTTCTACTTATTTTTTTTTTAAAGATGTGGCCCAGGAATTGTAGATTATCCTAAAGGAAACCCATTTAATAACACTAATGTAACTGATATTTCTCATAGATTTAGAGTTTTAAGAGCAGGAGGAAGTGGTGGTGGTCATGGAGGAGGAGGGGGAGGCCATAGTGGGAGCAGTCATACAAGTAGTCGCTCTTCTTCAACTAGAGAAAAATATATAGATACTAGACCATCAAACAGAATCCACTCATATGACCCAGTCTATGGTAACAGATATCATCCGTATCCGTATTATAGCACGAGTAATTTTATTTGATAATTCAAAATGTTAACATTTTATTTCTTTCTAATATCTATCAAAGCTTTTTTATAATAAAAGCTATTTGATTGTTAAAGCATTTAAAATGAGATTATAATAAGAATAGTTTAATTTTAATTTTTATTTAACTTACTAATAAATACTTATTTATTTATTTATTTGATAGATACCTATTCAACATGTAAGTAGTAATATACGTTTAGCCAAGTAAAATTGCCTACTTGGTTGTGTTCGAATGAAAATAGTAATTTCAAAGATTTAATAACTCCAAAGACTTGTTGGGTCCATTATTACAATGTGTAAACAGGATATGCTCAATAAAACTCGAAAAGTAGATTAAATTAGAGAGAGTTAAAGGAATTATCTTTCGTGACTTTTGAATACCCAATTTACTATCCAAAAAGAAGCTTTAGTTTTATAATAGTGTTTGTATATTATCCTTTAATTTTAGCACTGAATAGTATATTCTAATATACTGCAAATGCAATCGTCTTAGGGCTTTATAATGAAGATAATTAAGCAGAAACAGATTAATTGAATGATTTAAAATAATTTGAAAGTTATTCAAAAAATAGTGTGGAAATGCCTTTGTTTAACTAAGAATAAGCATAAATTAGACCTCAAATGTGAAATTATTACTGTAATTATTTAATAAATAATTATGTAAATGATAAATTATTTATTTTTTATTCTATTTTAAAAACATTTATTTATGATAAAAAAATTAAATGTACTAATTTGCTTCACAAATATTCTATGTTTTTATAAAATAATATAATTATTGAGTTTAAATTTAAATAACCAATTTGCAAACAACAATAAATACAATAAATAAATAATATTATAAAGCAAATTATTTTACTGAATATGGTGAAATAAAAACTATTCATTATTGATATTTAAATTTTTTACAAATAGTTAAGACTTTTGATATTATTTGTTTTTTTTAATGAAAAACACTTAATTTAACCATTTTTAATTATTCATTTTAAATTAAAATCTTTGTTTTCAATTTGAATTTTTCAAAGATACTTTATTAAAAATAAATAAAGTTAATGATTTTATTAATTTTTTACATATTTTAAAAATTAATCCAAATTTAATTGCAAAAATAATTAAATTTTATCATTTAATTAATTGATTTATTTTTTTTAAAGTTTAGAGAATCTTATTCTAATCAACTCTTAGAAAAATTAAATTTATATTTTGAAATTAAATTATTAATCTTTTATATTTTAAAAATTAATTCAAATTTAATTGCAAAAATAATTAAATTTTATCATTTTTATTATTTCATTTATTGATTGATTTTTTTAAAGTTTAGAGAATCTTAATATTAACAAATAAGATTTTTTATAAATCAAACAATATCAAATTTATAAATTGTTTCTCAATTTTTAAATAATTTTATCTATGTTTTCAAAAAAATAAGGAATATTTCTAAAAAATAGCAAATAAAATTCAAATAAGAGCAAATTAAATTGTATTTAATCTTTCAACTATTTTTATTAATTCTACACTTTTTCTTCCTGTTAATCTTCTTCTTCTTCTTCCTGTTAATATCCTTCTTCTTCGTCCATTTCAAGTTATTTGAAAAATAGGTAATCATTTTATAACTCCTTCTCTGATTCAATAATAAATTTTATTAAATAGTGATCACTATTTTTTAAAGCTTAACTAAAATGCTCCTAGGCTTTTATTAGCTCTTATTATTCAATACACGCTCTTGCTGCCCATAAATGAGCTTCAAAGCATTTAGGGTCTTCATTGATAGCTTGATTAAAATAATTAATTGCTTGTTTGATATTAATTTATTCAGCCAGACAAATATCGCCTAAATAAAAAAAGGCTATTGAAGTTTTAGGATTTCGTTTGATTATTTTTTCAAGAATTTCTTTTGCTTCAAAGTATTTTTTTTGTCTTTTATAAACATATGATAAATTTAAACTTGTCTAAATATCTTCAGGATGACTTTACAAGCATTTTACTAGAATTTATTCTGCTTAATTAATATTTTAATCAGATAAATAAATAATTGACAGGGCATTAACTACTTAAGGTTCTTCTTCATTATTCTTTAGATATTCTAACAATTCAAGTTCAGCTTCTTACCACTTCATTTAACATAAATAATTTAAGCCTAATAGTTGATGTATAATTTAAATAGAAGGATTAATTTTTAAGGCTTCCTTTAAATGTAAAATTGGGTCTCCTAAATATCTAATTTTTTAGTATAAAATTGCTAAAATCAAATGAATAAGATAATTTGTTGGGTTTAATTATTAAGCTATTTGATAGCATTCTGACGCATTTTGATATTTTCTTTGCATTTCATATGTTTTTCCTAGCTCTAAGAAAAAATTTTTAGTATATACGTCATTCATTTACTTTTAATTATCTTTGCTCTAACTGATAAGATATTGAGCCTATTCTACTTATTTGATTAGGTTTTCTGCTGTTGAGTCCTTTGGATTTATTGCTAGAGCGCTTTTAAAGCATTTATCAGCCTCTTCCAGCTTTTTTTAAGAAAAATACAATTTCCCTAAAAGAAGAAAATCTTAAAGCGATGAAGGGTTTAGCTAAATGCACTTGTGAAAAAGTTAAATTGCTAAGTCAAAATTACCTAGAACCATATTACATTTAGCATAGTTAAAAATGATATCATAGTTATTTGGATTTAATAATAACGCTTTTTCTGTACACTAATGTGACTTTTCATAAAGCTATTGATGAAAGTAGATATATCCTAAATTCTTGTAAGCTGCTGCAGAGTTAGGATATATTTTTAATGCAGTTTCATATTAGTGTTTAGCTTCTTCAAACTTATGTTAAACTAGAAGTATTGATCCCATATAAAAGTTTGTTTCAAAAGCCGTTGGGTTCAAGTCTAGAGCTTTTTGAAAATTATTTTAAGATACCTAAAACTTGCCCTAAAGGTGATATACATTTCCAAGTCCAATAAAGCCTTAGTAATTTTTTTCATCTTTTTCTATTACAAGCTGAAAACATTCCTCTGCTTATTCGAGCTAGTTTCTGCCTAATAAAGTATTTCCTGTCTCCAATATAAAGCCAATGTCATAATTTCCTTTTTTTAGCTCTTCCTTTGACACAGTATTTAAGTTAAATATGTTTTAATTTCCTTCTTGAGACTGACTCTAAGTGATATAATTTTATTTTTGAGCAATTTAGTGATCACTTTTACTATGATTCTGTATACCAAAAAAGTGATTATAAATGTCTTTTAGCCTCATTCTTTTATATATTTTAGTTATTATTTATTGTAATTAATTAAATAATTATAAATATTTTTGAATACCCATATTTTAATTTAAATTAAATCCTACCTCATTTCTATCATTTCATTACCAGAAAAGATTTTAGTAAATTCTAACTTAGTTTCAATTTCAAAATAAAAGAAAATAGAATGATAGGTTTAGAAAGGAAAATTTTCATTATCAGAAAAGATAAATAGCTGATAAGAAATTTTCTATTAATTTATTTTAATCATCAAAATATTTCTAATTTGAGATTTGATATAGCTTATGCTAAAAGTATGAAATTAGTTAATATGAGTATGTACATTACTACTCTGAGAAATTTGTTTTAATTTTTTATTTATTAATATCATTTTATTTATTTTTTTAATAATCTTGACAAAAAAATTTGATATCTGAAATTCATTTTTTAAATATTTTTTTTACAAAAATATATGATACTATTTATTTCTTTTATTAAGAAATAAAATCTGATAGATACTATTTATTACTCTACTTAGATGAAAATATTGAAATTTATTAATAAAAAATGACGTTTAGTAAATTGTAATTGAGTTTCAATTTAAAAAGAAAAGAAAATAAAATGATAGGTTTAAAGATTTCTTTAATTTTACATCTTTTATACAAAAGTATCAGTAAAAATCACGTATTTAATATAGTAAATGATGTTATTAAATAAAAAGACAAATTTTCATTATCAGAAAAGATTAATAGCTAATAAGAAATTTTTCTATTAATTTATTTTAATTATTAAAATATTTCTAATTTTGAGATTTGATATGGCTTATCTCAAAAGTATGAAATTAGTAAGTTAATATGAGTATGTACAATTTTACTATGAGACGTTTGCTTTGAACATTATTTATTAATATCATTTTATTTATTTTTTTAATAATCTTGACAAAAAAAATTAGATTCCGAAATTCATTTTTTAAATAAATTTTTTACAAAAATATATTATAAAATTTATTTCTTTTATTAAGAAATAAAAATCTGATAGATACCATTTATTACTCAATTTAGGCGAAAATATTGAAATTTATTAATAAAAAATGACGTTTAGTAAATTGTAATTGAGTTTCAGTTTAAAAATAATAAAAATTAAATGATAAGTTTAGAGTTTTCTTTTATTTTACGTCTTTAATACAAAAGTATATGTAAAAATTGAGTATTTAATATAGTAAACGAAGTTATTAATAAAAAGACAAAATAAGTAATAAATCTATAATAGATTTTTTTTGACTTTTATAAATATTCTGCAAGTCATAAGCTAAATTTATCTTTAAAAATGGAAATTACTTTATTTATTTAATTTTCCATTCTCAAAATATAAGCATTAAATGTTGTTAAAATAAATTAAATTTTATTTTAGAATATTTATCTTATTTGTAAATTACATTCTTTATAAAGTTTTTTATATTAATTAAGATATTTATGATGAAAAGCTTAATTAAAAGCAAAATATTAAGGAATGCCTTAAAATATATATTATGTATATATAATTTTATTTTAAAAATTCTGAATACTGAAAATAAAATAACTTAAGAAAATATTGAGCTTTCTGATGTATAATTAACTAAATCTATTATATATTTAATATCTTATTTTATTTCAACCATAATACTTTATCTAACTAAAGTTTTATATTATTCTAGATAAAATAAGAATACTTATTTAAATTATTATCCGTTTTGGACAATTTTCCCATTATATAGCAGAACTTACCAATAGAAACAATTAATGTTATTTTATTATAATATAAGATAAATAAGTAGTAGTGAGTTAGAAATTTTTGTAATAGGCAAATTGGTATCATAAGGATAAAAATAATTTTAGGTGAAAATCGTTTTAATTAAAAAAAAGATACAATATATAATTTGATCCTTATTATAAAAAAATTAGTGCAAATATAATATATTAAAAATTATATTTAAGTCATTCAATTATCATTATCACTTTGCTAAATAATGAAATCCAGTTCTGTATCTTCACTTCATTATCTTCAGGGTGATCAGAGTTTATCTTATCAAGTACATGATCAATTACATTTTTTTGACTTTGTTGAATTAAAATTTTTGAGAGCATCGAACATCGAAAAGAGTTAAATCGAGTAACTATTTAATTTTATAAGTGGGATTCTTACCTCTTAAGTCTTTGATTTAACCCATGCAAATTCAATCGGACTATGTTAAGGGTGATAAGGAGGTAAGTATATCATTCTATACTAAATTTAAAACCTTCTTTTCCCATTTTATTCAACCATTCATTCTATAATTGTAGGAGGTGGTTCACAGTTACTTAGAGTCATTAGTTTTAGTTCCTATTTATATATATTTTAATTAAATTAGATATCAATCATTCTATTATAACCAATCCTTTAATTCAAATTTCTTTGCTTTGTAAGGATTAAATTTTTTTTCATATACAACTGTATGATAACTTGCTTTGTCTAATAAATACTATTATAGATGGCTAAGTTAAGTGATTCAAAATACATTCATCCATTAAAATATTGGATAAAGTTTTCTGTGTTAAAATTGAAGTGATAGTCACCACCTACATTTAGGATTCAAAAACCAGTTGATCCATTCTGATATATGTTATTCTATATAGTATAAATTTTTTTGGAGGGCTCTGGAAAACTTGTTTAAAACGACTAAAATATTAATTTTTATTTTATTTTAATCAGTATTTACAAAATAAAAATATATTATTTTAATTTAAAAATAATAATACAAAAACATTTTTAATAAATTATTTAAAATTAATTAATATATTTATACTGAAAAGCTTAATTAAAACAGAATATTAAAGAATTTAGCCTTATCTATTTTGTATAATATTGTATATTTTTATAAAAACATTCTAAATATTTACAGTAAATAAATAAAATACTTACCACTTAATTAAAAATTTAATTTTTTTTTTTTGATAAACTCTGTTTTTATTTCATTTATAGTTAATAATATCAAATAAAGATATACAAAATGAGGATTTCAGGTATATTTATTTTTTAAAATGAAATAATAATTAAATTAAATGTCTTATTTACCTTATATTTAGCTAAAAAACTGTTAGATTTTTCAATTAGTTTATCTAAAGCACCAAAAATAGAATATCTTTTTCTGATACTATCTAATTACTTTTTATTATTAAATTTAATACATATTTATTTAGAATTTGAAAAATTTAATTACAAAATTTAGATATTAAATAATACAAGGTTACTGCAGTTTGCTAAAATAGGCAATAAACTCATCAAATCTTTATTTTCAATATGGAGTACACTATTTATTAAATAAAATTTAAGTTTGGATAATTTTTTTAAATGAGGAATTGATATATTTTTATAATAATTACCTTAAATTAATAGTTAATCTTTATAATTTTTTCATTTAAATTATTGAATAGCATAAATTTTAAGCTTCTTTTACTCCAAAACAATAAAATTTACTACTTTAATAATTAGAAAATTTGAGTTAAAAATAAGAATAACAACGAGATTTGATTTTATTTTAATTTGTTAATTTTAATAATAATCAAAAATAATTTCTCAATTTAAATTAAAATTTATTTTATTTTTTACTTTCATAAAAATCTAAACAAAATAAAACTATAAAATAAATAATATTTTACGAAAAAAGCAATTCCAAACTTATTAGATTCAAACAATTTTTTAGCTTAGATGAAAATTATTGTAAATACCTATTATCAATCAGATTTATGCTTTTTATATTAAATTTTGATAAGCTTTTAGAAGGTTAAAATCACTTTACCCAAAATCTATGCTTAAATTAATCAGATTTTTACTAATTACTAAAGCTGCAAGGCAAGTATCATCATAAATGCCAATTTTATTGCTTCTAATTAATTAAATAAGATAAATTTAATAAAATAAATTTTTTCTTTTAATAAAAATTATAATTTTTGAAGTTTAAAAAGTTTCTTTATAAAATAGCTAAAATGCATCTAATAAAAAAAAAATGTTACCCTAAAGCAATTTTAAAAGATTTTAAAGTTAAATTGTCTGCAAAGGATTGACCTAAAGCAAGTATTCCTTCATCTTCTATTTAGTTATTTCTATTAAAATTAAAAAAAAATTGCTTTAAATCAATAAAAAAATTCATTAAGATGAAGCATGTCAAATAATGAAGTTGATAAATTATATGCTGTAAAAAATGAAAGAATAATCAAACTTAGCATACCTCAAAATAAGAGTTAAATTTTAAAGACTCTTAGACTTAGAAAGACCTTATGCAAACCCAGATAAACCTTTAGAACCCATTTAACTGTTTCTTTATAAATTTAAGAAGTTAGATATAATAATATTTTTTTTCATCATAAAATAATAAATAAATTAGAATAAATCATAGTTAATATTTGTAATAATTTTATAAATATTTTCTAATACTCTAACCAAAGTTCAAGATTAATTAAATTTGGGCATTCACATAAAGAGCAACCCAACAAATTTACTCCTTTTTCTCCAATGTTATTCCTACTAATTAATTAGAAATTTAAAAATATAAAATTATAATAAGTTGTTTTAAATTCTAAAAATTTGAGGAATTTTATAATATTTTTCTAATTAGTTATGATAAGTAAAAATACAATTTGTATTTTAAATTTCGAGATTTGAAATATTAATTTAAAATTACACAATCAATAAATTTATATATTTATAAAAAACTTTTAATTCAGATAAAGAAGATATTTACACCAAAATACTTTCTACATTCCCTTTCTCTCTAAATTATATTACATTTAGCAAAAAATGAGATTTAATTATATTTTTACTTTAACCATAGAATTAGAATTTTGAGATTTTAGCACTTTGCTAATGTAAAACCTAAAATTTATTCTTCAAACTGTAGTAGATCATTTTCTCTAGATTTAATAATAAACAAAAAAATATATTTTGTCTAAATTAGTAATAGCTCAAATTTACTTCATTTGTAATCTTAAATTTGTATGATCTTTTAAATCAGAATTTTAAAACTTTTTTTGATAAAAAAAGTGTTTGGATATGAAATTTTATAATATTGACTACATCTTCGAATTTATAAAAAATCTCCTAAGTTTGAATCATTTTCATTTTTATTCAATCAATAGTTTTCTGATTTACCAAATTCTAAATTTACAAAAATTGTAATTAAAAAAATTTAAATTTAATTTATTATAAGAATATATCAAATTATATTATTTTACATTTTTAACTATTTGATAAATTCTTTCTGAAAACATAAAATTGAAGAATTTTTAAGCAAATAAAATAAGATTTCTAAATTCTTGGTGAAATATATTTATCTACAAGAAATTTAGCTTTAAGAAGAAGAATTAATTAATTATCAATCTTTGATAGATAGCCTAATGAAACTATTGATTTTTATAATTTAAAAATATAAAATATTTTAAACAAACAACTTTTTCATACTAAATTAATTGGTTGATTTAAAAAAATTAAATATGAAAACTGATAATTTAATCATAAAAATATAGGCTAAATTATTATTTAAAAAATTCTAGTAATTATCTAATTTTAAAATTAATTATTTTAATATATAAATTTCAACAAACATATTTATAAAATATAAAAAATTCATAAAATAAAAAAATTATTTTCTTATTTTTAAAAATTTTAATGAATATTTATTTAAATAAATGTTTCATTCATTTAGAAACTTCTTAAAAATAAATTAAATCTATACAGGTTTAGTAATTATCATTTTTACCAAATTGTATTGCTAAAAAGTAAGTGCCATCTTAATTTAATTTATAGTCATCATTTATTTCATTTATGGATTCATAATCAGGATAATCTAAAAATTGTACCTTTTTATTTTCTAAATCTATTCTCATTTCAACAATTTGATCCTTCTTAACTTTGTAAAAAAGTCTACCTTAAACTACTTTACCTCCATAGGATGAAATACTATTACAAAAAGCCTTTGCTAAATGAGTACTAGAAAGATCTTCACTAGTATCTGTCCAATCCATCAAACCTATCATAAAATAATCTCCTGCTTCATCGTTAAATTTAAATCTAGCTACATATTTTTTTTGTTTATTTAAACTATAATTAAAGTAGACTTAACCTCTAACACTTGAATTGCTTTTTTTAATTGATATCTTTTTTTGTTCTTAATTTTCTTCATATTCTATCTGACGAGATTGATATGAATTGCAAAAAGAAAGTTTACCAAATAGCTTATTTATATCATATGAATTGCCTAAGAATTTATCAAGCTATAATGTTTATCTGATTTCTTTACTGAAATTATATATTTAAGATTATATTGTTTTTTTACATTGATCAAAATCATCAAATTTATATATTTCTTCTAAAGCTAGTTTTTATAACTATTCTTATAAAAGTTCTGTGTTTTTATCTTGATATTTAAAATATTCTGAAATAAAAGATTTTAATTCTATGATCTAACTCTCTATATTTCCTATATTAAAGTTTGTAAGCGATTTTAGCTTATCTATTTGAGAAATATTTTTATAAAACTAAAGGATCTCTTCTTTCCTTTCTCTAAAATTGATTACTTATTAAATTAGCTTTTTCTTCTCTTGCGATAAATGATTCGTTACTTCCTTGATTATTTTATCAAATAATTCCTGTATTTGCTATATTAAAATGGAGTCTGATTTCTAAAAATATTTTATCTACTTTAGCAAATTATTATCACTGACAGGTGGCCAATTAAAAAAAACATAATCATCAGAGCATAATTAAATTGTTTATAAAGAAATGAATTCTTTCAAATAACCTTCTTCAATAGCACATTCATCACACTTAAATTCTACAGTGTTCTCCTATGAAACCTTAATAAAATTTACTTTATGATTTTCATGGATTTCACAAGAAATACCAGTTGAATCTTCAAATATATCCATTTATTTTTTTTAAACTTATTTATTCTTTCTAGCTAAAATATATATTAATCAATTTTTGTTACACAATAAATATCTTTTCAAATTTTATTAGAAATTTAATAGATCAGATATAATCATTTATTAGAATATCTAATATTGACTGACAACAATCAATATGGTATTAAAAATAATAAAACTATTTTATATAATCTAATTTTTTTTTAGGTTAAATTCAAGGATTTCAAAAAAAGTACAAATTCCCAACAAAATAATCTATAAAAATTCCTTATAGATAAAACGAGAAATGATAAAAGAATTCAGAAATAATACATTGAGAAATTTAATATATTTATTAGAACTATTTTAATTAATTCAATTAGAACGAAAAATATATATACTATTGCAGATTAAGTAAAGTTCTTCATTAGTATAGAGAGATTGGTCAAAGTCATTTTTAATTGATAAATTATAAACAAATAATAATATTTAAAATATTTTTGTTTTTTTTAAGAATAATTTTATTTATTTATAAACCAAATTTATTTGTTAACATCGAAATATATTTTTTAAATAATTTCAAATAATTAAAAATAAATAAATTACTAATTAACATTTTTAACAGAATATTAATAAAAAAAGATGATTCAATAGAAATAAATTTATTGGTCTATATAAGAAGTAGTTTATTAAATACTTTGTTTTTATTTATATTAATTTTATTTTTTATAAATAAAGTTTGTAAGCTCTTCTTCCTCAGATCACAACAGTCTAAAAATATTTCTGAAGTATAATAAAATTTACAACTACTGTTAATTATTGTATTTCTTATAAAATAACTTTATAAATTTGATTTATTATAAATTAAAAAATGAAATATTAAAAGTCCTTTCCAATAATTACTAATACAAAAATAAAATTCATAATAAAACCAATTAATAATATAATTTCTCAATAATTTATTTATTCAATAATACCCATTTTTTTTATAGCCGAAGTAATATTTCTGATAAAGATATTTCAAACTTATCTAAGGCATTAGCAAAATGTTACAATACTTCTATCTTGGAACTCAGCTTAAGGTAAAAAAAACTGTTTAGTTACTTACTTACTTACTTACTTACTTAATTTATTTATTTTATTTTTTTTTTGAAGAGTATTTTATTGAAGAAATAAATATCAACTATTTATTTATTAAATTTTAATTTATTAATCTTTTTTATATAATGTATTTTTTAATTAAATAAATATTTAATTATTTTAAATCTGACTTTTATGAACAGTACTAATAAAATTGGACCTTTTGGTGCAAAATCTATTGGATTTTCTCTGACAACCTTAAAAAATCTATCTAATTTAACTATCTTAATTGAGTAAATAATATATTTTTAACTTTTTATATGTTTACTTAAAACACAAATTTATTACTAAAAACATCTTTTCAAATTTACTTAAGTTATTTTTTAGCATTTTTATTTTATTTTATTTTTATTTCCTCGCTTTTTGCTTAATTAATCATTTAAATTAGTTTTAATAGAATTTCATCATAGGGAGCTTCAGCTTTTTTTTCTATGATAGCAAGATGCACTAACCTATCCTCATTGACTCTAAATTTCATGTAAAATAATATTAATTTAAATATTGAAACAAAATAATTAATTTTAATTAATATGAAAATTTATTGTTTTATCAAAAATTTTAATATTGTTATTTTTAAAAGTAATAATGATATTGACGATAGTGGTTTTAATGGGGCATAAAATCTTCTAAGCAGCTGTGAGAGTCTCAAAAATTTTAAACTTTAAATTTGGTAATATAATTTATTTTTTAATTATTCAATCATTTGAAATCGTAAAAGGTTTAAAAATTAATTATCTTCTTTATTTAATTTAAATTTTTTTAACACATAACTGGTTTTTTTGGTTATTAATTAAATTAAAAATTAATATCTTTTATTTATAGCTGCAATAATATAGGAAAATTTGGTTCTTAAAGTTTAGCAAATAGTTTAATAAAGAGCTAAAGCCTTTAAATTTTGACTTTAGATCTTAGGTAAAAATATCTTTGCTAACTTATATTATTTATTAATTAACTAACTTTGCTACATTTACCTAAATTATTTCATAAACAAATATAAATCCAGTAGAAATTTATAAAAATTCAATAATAATTAATATAAATTGTTTTCATTTAATTTAAGTTTATTTTTTTTCTCACTTTTTTAATTTAATTAATTAATTAATTAATAAAAAGTGGAAATAAAATTGGATCTGAAGGCGTGTTAATTTTAAGCTCAGCTTTAATTAAATGCTAGAATCTTTAATAGTTGAATATATTCTTAATGTAAAGTCTATTTTTTTAATATTTACATTTTAAAACAAATATTTATCTTTATTTCATAAACAAACAACTAAAAAAGCGAAATTTTACTTATTTATTTATTTATTTATTTATTTATTTATTTATTTATTTACTTACTTTTTTATTTTTCAATTTTTTAATTATTAAAAATGCATATTATAACTTATGAAAAGAAAAAATTAAATTACTGATATGGGAGTTAAAGGTCTAGAGAATATCATTACAGATTGTTCTAATTTATATGCTATTGAACTTTATCTTAGGTAACAAAGACATTCCTACTTACAATATTTATACTGTAAGCCATCATGAATCTACCAATTAACAAAATATTTATTGCTGAAAACTAGATTTATTTCAAATAACTTATTTAAAAAATTTTCTAATTTTCAAAATGTCTGTCTTATTATGAAAAATTACAGTATTTAGTTAAAATTAAATTCTAAAAAGCATATTTCTCATTAATTTATTCTTCTTCTAAAAAATAATTCAAACTAAATCTTAATTCAACAATAGAATAAATTAAGAATTAGCTCAAAATTTACAATTTGGCTGAGATTATAACTAAATAAATATCATAAAAAGCAAATATATTTACTAATTACCTCAAAAATTAATTCTGAAATATCAATATAAAAATAGTGTTTAAAATAAAAACAGATTATTTTTTTATTTTTTTATAAATTAGAACAAACTAACTTATAAAAGAAAGATAAAAATAATGATGGGTTCAGTTATTTTAACTTTTTTTTAATAAATTTTTAAATAATAAAATTAAAGTAATAATTAAATTACTGAAGAAGGAGCATCAAATTTATTTAGCAGTTTAGAACATTCTTCATGTATCTCTATTAAAATTGACCTATAGTAATTTCATCAATTAATCATCTTTTTAAATTTTTTTTAAAATTATTAATTGGCTTGAAAAATATCAATATATTGATTAATCTTTGAAAATTTATTTTAAAATTAAGTTAATTAGTTTTATTTACTTATTTTTTTCTGATGATTAATTAATTAATTAATTATTCATGTTAAAATTTTAAAGTTGCAACTAAATTAGAAATATAAAGCCTTTGGACATAAAATCGTATTTTCAAATAAGCAATAGTATAAAATCTTTATCACTTGACCTAAAGTAAAAATGTTTATTTTTTATATATTTTTTGTTGTGTTTATTTATATTAAAATCACTTGCTCATCTATCTATGCATTATATTAAGCTATTCATTAAAGATATAGGAAATAAATCAATCAATTTATATTTAAAAACTAATTTTAAATAATTATAAATAAGATATAACCTACTTTGTGATGAAGGTGCACTATATTTTTCATTTTTTTTAGAAGAAT